ATAATAAGGCTTACGTATTACCGATAACATCCTACTTGTACGTCAAAAAGCTTTGCTTCAAATGCTGCAAAATAATTCATCCGCATCGCAAACGACATTGTGTCATCAAAGAAACTTTGATCTGCACAGCGATTGCAGACTACTGATGCTGCAGAATCATGATTAATTTAGACAAACGGTTTTTCGAGGGAGTTGAAAATAATCCCAATCCTCACGGCGGCAAATTACCAACAGAACTGGAGTTCTCGCGTTGGAACGCGACCGTTCAGAAACGTCCTTGACGTCCTTCCCTGGACAATCCCGTCCATTCCCACAATAGCAGAAGCTACTTCGTGGCCCTTACGCAGAAAATTATCTAATGCTTTTTATTTTATTTGCAGGTAAATATCGTGTCTTGGGTCGCGATAGTTGTGTAAGTCATCACTTATTTAAATATTAGGTGAAACTAAAAGCATCAACTTCAAGTTTAGCAATATTTAGTTTATAATTTTTTACACCCACTGTTTGTCTGTCACAACGCTATTAACTCAAAAACTACTGAACGGAGTACGATTTCTCAACAGTGGACAGAGCGTTTCATGAGCTCAATTCAAGAGCGAGTCACATTCATTTATGGTAGTAGGTGTATAATTTATTAAAGATTTGTACATGAAATATAACGATGATTGAAGAAAATGTTTGCAAAATGCTGCCTCACAGGTATAACAAGGCGTATCAAGTGAAAAATAAAATGTAGGCGTATATACGCTGCGCTACCCGTGCGAAGCCGGAGCGGGTGGCCCGTAGTACATTTTAACTTAAATCGAAAGAAAATATATTTTTAAATAGTTAGAATTCTCAATATACAGATCTGACTTACCCAATGCAGTTTTTGGTTGTTAGATATAATTAAAATGTGACATAATGCTAAGATAAACAATAACAATAAAGAATTTTGCTGATGCGATTTTCTTGTCCATTCACCACAGAAAGTTTTCTAAAAATTAGTAGTTATTTACCCTTTAGATTTTTCTCAATATTATTAATAAAAGTTATAATAGGTTGCGGAAAAAGTGTCTTTACATTTTATATGAAAATTCCAAAGATTTTTTAATAAAGTTTATTTACATTTAACTAAAGTATGTAGGTGCCATTTTGTTCGAAAACTTTCTGCCATCTTGTAGGTAAGGACATGACACCATTGCTATAGAAATTTTGGGGCTTCTGATCAAAAAACCGCGACAAGTGGTTTTGGCAGTCCTATCGAGATGTTAACCTGACACTGCCTAGAGAATTCTGAAGTGGCTAAAGATGTGTGAGGTCTAGCGTTATCATGATGAAAAACACACCCCTTCTGTTGATTAATTTCAGCCACTTTCTAATTTAAATTTGGAATTATCTTTTATTAAGTTTAAACTTTTTAATGATACCAAAACCAGCCAGATACAAATGGTATAGACAAAGAGATTATATTATAAGTACATACATACTATTTGCGAAAAGTTTTTCCCCAACCTAATATTGATTCATTTCATAATAAAATATTTGGAATCATCTTTTCGCACGCTTTTAATTTTTTTATGTGAGGTGGCAAGCGAGCAAGTGAGCTGACCTCACTTAACACATTAAACTTTATTTTATTAAAAATATTCAGGCATAAACCCATTAATTTTATTATCTTTTCATGAAACTTGCGAATGCGACTCCAGGTATAACCGGGTATAACATTGCATTGCGACAATTATTGCTATTTATATAATGAACAAGTACATGCAACGGTTTTGCTATTACTAACGATATATTGTTCAAATGCATTTTCAACATTATAGGAGGAAATGACGTATTAATAAATGACAACTGTAATTCGGAATGCAATCATTTAATTTATTCATGTTATTTATACTTGCATGCGCCGGCGTTGGCACACCGTCACAATACCACGTTCCATTACACGCTCACACATTAAAACTAGATGTAATACAGACAACACAACGCCAGAATTTCACAGTAGGTACACATTTTAAACGCATATCAGCTATGAAAAAACCGTTCAGACTGTTGGTTCAAATTTTGCTGATATTGCCGCACTAACGCTCGGGTTTCTGAAACAATGATCATCCTAGAAGTTTACTAATCAGATGTCAAATGGTCTTTCAAATGTTATTTAAGTTGCCAAAAGGTTGGTTAAACTCTTTGAATTGATTAGTCTGATCATTGAGAACATCATTCTGGCGTTATTCTTGTTTTGCATCTGATCAGAAGTTGGATCGAATGTTGTGACAAAACAGAGAAAGATTTTAATGAATGCTTGGCGTATCTATTATTAAGTCCTGTACTCCGTGTTAATTTGCGTACCTAGTGTAGAAATTCTGGATTACAATAATCACACAGGGTTACATATCTATACCACCCAGTCGAATACACTTCTGATTACTTATTGATAATTCATTAATTCCATTGGTATGACCATATAGGCCTCTCGAGTGTGATTTACAAAAATAAATTACTTGACTCCGCTGCAAGACGAACGAAAGGCTATCACAACTGTTCATGGCAGGTCACATGAGGGAGAAAGACTTGTTGATATAGGAACAAGTTTATTTTTCAACGAGATACGAAATATGTGCGACTAGAATGATGTATTAGAACAATTCTAATTATCAATAATATAACTTTGGTGAGAAATTCATTCCGTTGCGGCGACATGTGTCTCTGCACGCGACATCTTAAGAACTAAGAATCAAAAGGATGCCATGAGCACTCGACACTGGGCGGACGCGGAGAAAGCTCAACTTAACATGCAATAAATAATAAAATTAAAGTATGATTTCACATATCGCTGTCATACGTTAACATCTACGCTGTAAGCGTTAATGTTAATGTTAATCATTTAATTAGCACTGTATATTTTTAATCTAAAGCGGGAAGATTAACGTCAACGGATCTCATCTCATCACGTTTAATATCATTATAATTCTTGCCATCTAATAAGAGTAAATTCAATGGCGACGAAATCCGTGAACATAGTTTCACTTATAATTAATGCATATAAAACTTTAGTCGTTGTTTTGTTCTTAAATTATTTTTATACAGAAAGAAATTATCTGAGTCTTCGCTTCTTTAGACTTAGGGCCTCTTTCACCATCTACAAGTAAAGTGTCAAGTAGGCTAATCACCACTTAAAGTCACCAGTAACTGCTTGTACGAATTTCACCATGTACGATTAGCACTAACCAAGGGTTAAACTAGTCAGTAACTTACTTGCTACTACATCTTCCAATTAGCGTGCTTAACTGACGGTTAAAACACAAAACTACATCATTGCCACTTGGCCATTTTGTGTTTAGTAACAATGATAAAAATGGAAGTGTTTGATTTGAATGATCATCAATTAATTCAAGTAGATTAATTTGAACGTTCTTCGATGCAAATATTATAAAACATAAAATAATTATCTAAAAAAAATTCAATGGTGAAAAAAAACTTTTTAAATCAAGCTTTTTTTAATTGCCCTAATAATTGCCCTTTATACATGACATTGTTTATTGAAATAAAATAAATCATACAAAAAACAAAACTAACACGCAAATTAAACACCACAGAATGACAACAATGACAGCTATCAATATATTTGAGAAGGGATGTTTGAAGTGATGAATGAATGATTTGGTGATCAGCCCCTTAACCCGTAACTTGTTACTTGGAGCTTTGACTTCATTTGTGAAACTGACAAAAGATACTCGTGACTTTTGCTTGCCAATTGGCGTTACTTGGCAAGTAACTAATCAGTGGTTTACTTTTAGATGGTGAAAGAAGCCCTTAGGAACATAACTAACTAACGTCGACGATAAAATAAATGAATTATACATTATTATATGTGACATTATAACATATGCACAAGTCCGAGACACTTCGTATTTTTTTTCTTATGCTAAGATTTGAGAAGTGAGCAGGCGTTTCAACTGATGTTTAGTGTTAACTGCTTTTCATGGAAATTTAGAAAATTGATTTGCTGGTGCTTTGTCAATGAGTAAAAAAGTGGGCCCCGGTTACCTCACTCAGCGCACGAACCGCAAAAGTATGATAGTTCAAGGTCGCCGGTCTCCTGTGCGGAGCTGCACGGAGGGGCGACTCCGTCCCAAAGTGCGGACTCCGCTTTGCGGATGTCGACTACTACTACGGGGCTTATAACAATTTGCTCAGCATTGGGCTGATCTCGGAAGAACATGTGGATTTCCTACAGAAACTTTGCAAACTGGTCTGTACAATTTAACTAAAAAACTATAATATTATTTTCTATATATTCATGTGTAATTTAAGATGAAATCTTACCACCTTATATGGTTGCTGGCCGGATGACCTCAATTTCATCAGAATTATAGGAATGTATCGTTAACTTAAAGCATTAAATATATGGCTGCATTCAGTTTGTACGTTTAAATTGACGACCGCCTAATGAAGTATACACAGAACACTGGATGATATCCGCGATCGTTCAATTTTAAATAACTAATTATCCTTATTTCATGTTTTCATTAAAGATGATCGGTCTCCCGTCATCTATAACAGCACAATTTTCAAATGTTTATTAAAACATTCTTAACAACAATACTGTTTTTCTTTTTTTCTGTCCATTAGTCCACATTACTTTATTCTCTAGGGGCAGTTGCACATTTTTTATTTAAAATTCTGAGACACAATCACACTTTGATAATGTGTACGAATTTAACCAATTGAAAATATCACTCTGCAATGTATCTTGAAATTTCTATAAAACGTTACTTGAAGCACAATTGAGTTGACTAGAAAGTAAGACATGGGTTGTAAGAAAACTAGATTAAATGAGTATAAATTATCACAATTTCTTTAAACAGAACGAGCCAGTGGCATTGCTGTAGAATAATTAAAATTAAATTAAATTTCGACACAAAATATAAGAGCAAAAGATCACCTCTTACAACTAAAGCGAATATGGAGAAAATGAGCGGGCATCGGCGGCGAGTGGAATTGAGCCGCACTCAGAAGGTCAGGACGGGCTCCTCGCGGTGGTCCAGGATGTCTGAAATCAACAGCGAATGGATTCATACAGCTCTTTGGTGTACATAACAAAGTCGGCCGATGAGAAGTCTTAAGAGCTCTACAGCAAAATATTAATAAAATACGTGGCGATATTTTTTTTTGTGTGAGAAGGTCTCAAACGAGCTGGCGTTTGACCTTTTATTAAGTGATAACCGCCGCCCATGGATACTTGCAACACCCACAAGACAGATCACAAGGCGCACCTGCCACCTTTTAATAAAGTGGGCCCCGGCTACTTCACTGATCAGAAACGCAGAAGTATAACTTCTGTGAGGTCTTGGCACTTACCCGGACGGAGCTGACCATTCGTGCAACAGCGAAGACTGTTGCACGAATGTCGCCCTACCAGCGGCATTAAAACCGCCAAATAAAGACTCGGGAGACGGCCGAGAGGTTAAATGTTTCAAATTGGACCATTCATGGTCACGTGAAAGGTTTTGGATTAAATTCAAAATTTGCCATATGGGTTCCACCTATTCATACAGTGTGATTTTCTTCTCAAACGTCAAGGAAATAAATAATACATTTTGAAGCGAATCATCATTGGCGATGAGAAATATGAGAAATATGTTGAGGCGCCGAGAATATCAAGCGCTAGAGACCATAGAGTAAAAAATATGAATCAGTTCAAACCACTTCGCCTTAGGTCTATATGTTTTATGTTTTTTTACCTTCTCTCGGACACTGCTACTCTATATGATACATTTAAAAAAATAAATGACTCACTCACTCAAATAGAAAAGGCCATAGTTGGTAAGTAGAAAAGGTATAATAGTGTTCCACCACGATAACGCGAGACACCTCATAAAAGAAATATCTCGTCAAAAGCTTTTATAGCTGGAAATACCACACCCACCATCTTTAGATTCGGCACGAATGCAATATTATTTGTCTCTGCAAACATTATTCGAACGGGAAAACCTTCACTTCAAATATCACTTGGACCAGTATTTCTGCTACCAAAGATCAGAATTTTATGAGCTTCGAATCAAACTCGTACCCAAAAGATGGCAAAAGATATTGGACTTAAATGGAGAACACAAAATTGAATAAAATGTTTATGAATTCTAAAACAATCGTGTTTCATGTTCACCAAAATAAACAAGAAACACAAAAACTTTCCGAACAACTCAATATATTCTGGTCAATTATTACCTTTTGTACTTTTCAAAACAGCTCAGAACTTCATAATAAGCATCAAACTATTTAAAATAACGCAAAATCTAGTTCGTACCCGATTTTTACTATATACTTACTTAAACTATTTTAATTTTTTTTTCCAAACTAATTATATGGAAGCCGAAATCAGAGATGTTTTTGTGCAAATAATCGGTAAATGCTGGTGACATTCCTTGACTTATCAAAAGCAATGGATCCGAAATTTGCAGAAGACTTTATTGAGAATTTAGAAAATGTACAAGAAGTGCCGCCTTCAGCAAGTGTAAGAAATGGTACATTAGTAATTGAAGACGGGACTATTATTAATACGGAGCCAGGCGTATACTTTTGGTTTACAACAATCGCATGTATAATATAATTTTACGTGAGGTGGCAACAAACCAATAGACCAATCACCTCAACACATTTTTGGTGCAATTCATTGTAAATTACTATACTCTGTATTTTGGTAGTAGCTATCAAGTCAGGTTTACTACGAGTAATCAGTTCTGGAAGTTAAGTTTTAAATGTCGAATGTACTTACACTTTATAAGAGAAGAAAACATAAAGTAGGATCTAAAGTTACATACAAATTAGTACATTATTGTGTATAAAATATAGGTAGATTGGGTGACAGTAGGTCACCTAATTTAGGTACTTATAAAAGTCGTTAAATAACGTTGTGCGCGTAAATACCTTTGGCGATGCTCCACCAGGGCAGCGTGACGTAGGTGAGGTAGGCGTTGAGCGGCGCCGACTGCTGGCGCTTGCCCTCCTTCCACAGGTGGAAGGTCTGCGTGAAGCCGCGCATCGCCCACAGCGGGTTGTAGGCGCCGTCGTCGAGCTCTGCAAGGCACGAGCGGGAGGGGCTGAGCGAGGGGCGGTCGGCGCGGCGCGTCGCGCTGCGGGGCCAGTACCGTGGGCGGCGCGCGGCGGCAGCTCGCACCAGTAGTAGATGTCGGTGCCGTCGGCCGTGGTGCGGCGCGGCGGCAGGCGCGTGCGCCGGAACAGCGCCGCCGCCACGCCGCGCTGGCGCCGCGGCAGCGTCACGTACGCGCGCGCGCCGCCGCTCCAGCTCGCCCCCGCCTCCGCCGCCCCCCCGCCCCCGCGCCCGCCGCCTTCGCCCCCGCACCCGCCGCCGCCGCGGCGTGCTCCTCGGTGCCGCGCACGGCGGGCCCCGAGCGGCGCGGGCCGCGCGGGGGGCCGCCCAGGCAGGGGGCGCAGGGGCGGCGGCGCGGGCGCGGCGCGGCGCGCGGGCCGGCAGCGCGGCGCCACCTCGCGCAGGCAGGCCGGCGTTTCGGTGTCGCGCTCCTCGCGCGCGTACACCTCGCGCATTCGGCAGCCGCCCCCCGCGCCCCCCGCACCCCCCGCGCAGCAGCCCCACCGCGCGGAGGAAGCCTGAGAGCCGCGCCGCGCTACGGACAGACACCGCGCGTTACTACTACCGCTCGCGATCGAAACCCGGCACTGAGAACTATGGACCCGGCCATTGGAAATCGCTATTTGCAATCGACTGACCCCTCTAGTGGACTCCATTTTAAAAGTCACTCTTTTGCTTCGATTTATCATGATCGCAACGTATCGATTGGCAAACATTGCATTATTGACCGTGAACAGTGAAGGGTCAGCAGCGCGTGAGAAACGATATAGAACGGAAATGTATTTCGATAGGATTAATACTTTATCAGAATCAGTGCAATACCTTCGGATATATAAATTCTCCATCGCGTTGTACTACAGGCCCTACTCCCGTTAAGTTATAGTATAGTTTGATCGTGATTCGCGTCTAACTGGCTTCCTCCGAGCGTCGCGCGCGCAAACATCGACACAAAATGGCAAAAAGCGACAACACCAATGAAGCTTAGGGCAAGATGGTTTCCGGGAGATTGAGGATGATACATGGGGCGTGACAACCACTAACTGCGTGGTCTATCCACATAAAAGACATTTTAACTACCGATAAATTAACGACTATATAACGAAAGTAATAAAATAGAACGATGAAAGCATAAGTTATAATTACTACGTCATCTACGCAGACTAAAATGTTTACCGTTATTGATATTTACAATAAATTTGTTCAGAAAATGATGCGATATTGAATCGTTGTATACGAAATGATCAGTAGGTGAATTCATGTATTAATAAATTCCTTCCTGGAAGTTGCAATTGTTTTAGTTTCCGATTTCCTGCACAACATTAACGTGGGCGCAATTGTTACATTTAGGCGTGTATTAAAAACGGTATTATAATTTATAAAAAATAATAATAAACTAGGACTTTATAAAGGTTTCTGTAGAATCTGGAGTATATTTTTAACTTCATATTTACGCGAATTTAACTTTCAGACACTATTTACATATTTGAATGCTATAGAACATGCCACAAGGTCTTACAATATCTCTATGTTCGAAGAGATTTAGAATATACAAAGATTAGATAACTGAGAGATAGTAAGATAGGACGATGGAGACGATAAAAGATAGACAAAAATAAGAATGCAAATAAATATAGACAAAGAAAAGTGCAAGCAACGTCTAGGTAGGTGACATGAAAAAAAACTAAGACAATACAGACAAACAACGTCTAGGGCCTTCACTGCCCGGTTCCTATATCCAACGAACGGCCGCTAGTTAGATAGCTTCGTAACTTTCGTAACGATTTGTCGATAAAAGGCGTGTACGCCCGGTTCGTATATTAAGGCGCTGTATGCAGTAAAAATAGGTTTTTCAAAAAAAATTTTAACAAAATCTATACATTTTATAGAAGCAAAAAAAATATATGTCAATCTTGATCTTACATTCTAATGGACCATTCTTTTCAAAACATATTCTCGATATATTTTCTCGATAGAAAAAAATCACGAACCTACCTTTAAATCTGAAATTCAAATAAAAAAATAGATATAATAAATGAACAAATCTTAATAAAATTAATATCAGTGGTGAAGAATATATTAATAAAAAGGACTATTGTCTTAATTTGTTAATAGAAGTAAGATATTTGTAAATATAATTTAATTCATAAAAGTTAACGAATTACGAACGCGATGGCCAAAACACCGCGCCACCGCGGCGTTGTTTCGGGTTGAACAATGAACAGAGAGCGCTGAGGCGCCTTGCTAGATGGACCTATGCCGCTCATCGCCCGCTCACCGTTACGAAATATATTTCGTATTTATTTATTATTGAGAGTTTTAATTTTATTAGACCTTCGAAAACACGAAACTAAAAAACATATATTCACATATTTCGTATTTATAAATTATTTGTATGTATTAACAGTTGTTAATTAATTTATTTCAAGCATAATTTCAATGTCTTATCTCGTGATTGATTGGTCTATCTATCAGTCCTATACATACAGTGTATAGGACCATCATTCTTTATGGATTGGGTTATAATCCCAAAATTTTTTGTTGTACTTATTGTTGATTTTCTTATTTGGAAGTATTTCTTAATTATTGTTGATTTTTTTATTTTCATATATAATTGCAAAGAAATATTATTGTATTTGTAAGTTGAAACAATTGCAGAACAATCTATCAGTAAATAAACCAACTTTTAGTATTAAAAGTTTTTAACGTCATCTATTTTTTTATTAATTTATTTCATTGTTCACCCTAAAACGAAAATTTATCTTATACACGAAAAATAATTATTTTTTTTTTATAACTTGTTTATTTCCCAATTTGAGCTATTTTTATAATAAAAACAAAATAATTAGATGGCTAACAAATTATAAAAAATACAAAATAATATAAAAAATACAACTCCACTCGATGAGTGGTTTGAACTTGGAACAGGACTACAGCAATAGTTTACCGTTGTGTATGACGCTCGGACAAACAGGCTACGCGAGGTCTGTGCAAAGTGACAAAATTTCAATTCTAGTTATAATTGCTGTCGTTTATCGATACAAATAAGGATTTTATCGATAGTTTTTTAAATTTCATTTTAGTTGAGAAAGTAATATAACATCGAAGTCCTGAACATTTAAAGGATAAATTAAAATTCTTAATATAAAAAAATGTTATAAAAAAGTTGTATTCGTAATTTCTGCAAAAATTTTATGAGCCGTTCCTTTAAAATCACAATATAAACCATAAAAACAAAAAATAATATTTATAAGTAATCAGCCTTTATTAATTTATTTGACTTTAAGATGTATTTTTAATCAATTCCTTTTCTATTTAATTAAAAAAATAATATTAAACAGGAAGAAGATTTTCTAAAATTGTTGATTGCTTTCTCATACTTAATATTTTTTTAATTATTATTCCTATTATCATATAAAAGTAAAATACAATCATGGCCTATAAAACATATTATAGGGATCATCTACATTTTCGAAAGCCATAATGCCGAATGCTACTATCGATAGTATCCTACGGCCCATCACTACACACACACTAGGTAATGAATGACTTGGTCTAGCTGCGCGTCGACGAAACTCGCGCGCTGCGCGCCGCTAAGCGGCGTTACCCCTGCTCCGCTTCCTCATACTTCACCACCCAAATAGTTAAAAATTCACTGCATACAACGCCTTAAGAAAACGAGGCGTCGCATTATCTCCGTTACGAAAGTTACGGAGACGGGAAAAGGAACCGGGCATGAGCGTGGGTAAGAACGGCGCAGTGAGAAGCGGGCGAGGCTCACCGTCGCGGAGGTCGCCCGCCTCCACCTCGGCCAGGCCGTCGACGAGCGAGTCGAGGCCGTCGTTCTCGGAGCGGCTGTGGTCGGCGGGGTCGCGCGCGCGCCACCCGCCGCGCACGAACCGCGCGATGTTCGCGCTCGGGTCGCTCAGCCGCCGCTGCAACCCACGCGTGCCACAACGGTACAGCGATACGTTTACGCTGCTGCCACGCCAAATAGGCCTGATCATCTGGGGCCCCACCTCGAGGAGGAAGAGCGAGGTAGCCGTTCGTGGTCCACTTTATTAAAAGATGGCATAGCATCTGCAACATTACGGGCGGGCGGCGGTTTTATCGATTGCGATATTCTTACATAAAAAAAAGAATCTATGATGCTGGTATACTTTTTCCGAAAGAATCATTTCTTGTCAGTTAGGTGAGGTTAGGGGTAAGTCCCTCAAGAACGATAGTGATGGCATATATTTTTGATCAAGATCTAATAACGATCGACGGATGGATTCATGAGAAAATCATTATCACTTTCAATTTCTTTCCTTCTTTTTTTTAAATAAAGTTGCTCTTACTTTAGGATAACATTAAGGACTTTTTACAAACATAAATTTCACGTGGACATACACCCTATCTGTGGATCACACAAATAGTTGTCCCGTGTGAGCATCGAACCCATAACCCCCACGCCGAAACCAATACTAAATTTGGGAGTTAATATCATATTTTTTTGCTATAGGCTAACGTGGCAGAATAACAATACCTCCCGTGTCACAAAAAGGAAAAAATGTGTGCGTGTACTAGCGTACACTCGTAAGAAGTGAAACTTTTTTATGACGTTATTTTTCAAAAAATAATGTACTATATGCAACTTTACAGAAATTGGTTAAATAAAGTTAAATTAGATAAAGTTTAATAAAAGGCTTTTATTATCATAGACATAAATACAAATTCTACAATTATTTCATTTTAGCTTTGTATAATATTTAGTTTCTTATTTGTAATACATAGGTGGCGTTAGTAATAAATTAAAACACACTATGGTTTGACCGTTGTAATTAGTATGAGGGTCCGCAAAAATTGTTAATTAAAAAACTTGCAACGTGAACCTTGTTTATTTCAATTAACCTCACGGACCCAAAATACAACCGCTTTCAATTTGTACATGGTCCTTCGTTGCCGAATAGTCAGCCAGTGAGTAGAAGGCAGACATTCGACTCGCGCGCGAGTGTTGTGAGTGAAGTTTTGGAAAACCGAACTTGCGGACGTTGGATCGACGTCGCAACCGCAAGTTCCAGGAGCCGATCGAGGTTTCGAAGAGCATCATCGGTCAGCTTCAGATTGTGTCTTCGGTGGAAGGCGCAGTTAGGTCACGGTGGGCGGTGCCTGCCTTTGGAGAAGAGGAAGTCGACACAGTGTCGTGCTCTGAAGTATTAGAGCTAGCACTGTCATAACTACAAAGATTATTATTAAATTTCATTAATTGTAATATTTATCTATCAATGATGTCGTTATTATATATTTGTGTTATTAATGGCTTATGGTAACTGAAATACGAAATATATTGTTTACATTTTAGAATTAGAATTAAAATAAACCCTTTGATTTTGTTGATTACTTTAATATAACATATATATATTGCTATGAACACACAAAGGAACTAACGCCATCTAGCGTCAACTATTAAAACCACTAAAGAATAAAGACGACATAAAACCCCCTATTCAACACTAGATGGCGTTAAGAGGAACATTTTAAGATAAAAAAAAAAGATGGCGCGTAACGGAAAAATGTTACACTAAATTTTTTTCCAACCCCGATAAAGAAGTTTCACTTCAACTAGTAAAGTGCATAAAAAAACAATAGATGCCGTACCTGGTGGCGGTAGAGGAAGAGGTCCTCTTGGTCGTCCAGGTCGTCGGGCCAGGGCGCGGCGAGGCCCGGCTCGGAGCCCGGCGAGGCGGCGCCGCGCGGCCTCGACACCGCCACCTCCGCGTGCCCCTTGCCCCCGGGGCCCTTCATGCGCACGAACTCGCACCGCGCCGCGCCGCGCCCCGCGCCGCCCCCCAGCAGCCCGAACGACATGCGCTGCGCCATCTTCGTGGACAGCGACGATTGCTGCGCATCCAATTCCATTGTATTTTGTGTGCCAATACCTCGGCAACTGCGCAACGGACTCAACACCAGAAATAGTAGAGCATTTTTTATGCGAAAAGTTGCCAAGCGAGCAGACGATGGACATCTGCTACACCCGAGGGTTCAAGATGCGTTGACAACCTTTTGAAAATTGGGCTCCGGCCACCTCGCTCACCAGACGAAACGCGAAAGTATTATACTTCCACTTCAAGCCGGCCATCTGAGGTCGTGGTACTTACCCGGACGAGCCTGCCCATTCGTAAAACAGCCGAGGCTGCATAAGAAGGGACGATACAACTTTAAAGATCTGTATTGTACCATGTTCTAACAAATAAACGTATCTTTCTTTCTTTCAACTCATGCTTATGCCATCACGTACCGTGATCCGAAAGCTGACCTGCGGTTGGATAAACTATTACCGGATCGATATTAAAATTACACCGCAACTCACATAAGTCATCACAATATATAAACATACACTTCTATCCTGTACCTGTTTTTTTTTTCTCTTTATTAATTTAGGGACTTTTATCCAAACATGCATAAGTCAGTCCCATTGTACCTTATAACTAACATGTTCACAGAATGACTTATATTTCTAAGATTACTCAGTGTCACGGAAACGCAATTGTACAAATTTATATAAATAAAAAACTATAGGAAATATTTTTATCTACTTGTATATATTACGAAATCATCAGCGTATTGACTTATGCTAGTATTAACTAAATTTTTGCAGACTTTGTAAGTGACAATATTGAATAAAAGGTTGGAAAGGGGATCCCCTTGTGCTAGTCCTTTTCTAGCATATCTTATTAACTCTTCATCCCCTGTAACTTCATTCATAGTAAATAATCCGCGCTCAGTAAGAAAGCTCCATAAATACGTGCATATAAGCTTAACAATTTGCAAATTATCAAAAATCTCTACTAATTTATCAATTAATATATTATTGTATGCACTTTTGATATCTAAAAAGCAAGCTAGAGTAGCCTGTACCTGAGTTAAAGTAAGCAAATAATAAATATAAATAGAAGGCCTTCCGTATATTAATAAAGTGTGTCACGTAAGTATCGTTCTATGTGAAAGTTTATCACGAGTACAATGGCTAATTTGGGCCTACGAAAGCTGTTAACCTCCATAAAGTAGATCGACACCTGGTAGAGGACAGTAGGTACTATAATAGAGGACATTGTACAATGGTGCCAAAGAGCTAACCCTAATTTTATTAAGATATACTATGCAAATACCATAGTGTTTATGCAGAAAATTTCGTGAAAGATAACATAAGAACCCGTAGGAAATAAATGTTTAAATAGGGTACATTTTCGCCTAGTAATAGATCAAAGTTAATAGATTAAAGCGAGCATGTCGACCATGTATTGTGTAATGATTACCACAGTCCATGGTTATCTACAACCCGTTGCACGCATGTAATCAAACATTAGTGTGTCGAACACAGTTGCCAGTCTTTTTAATGAAACAGTTGGCAAACGAATTAACGGCTTACCTGGGATAAGCGATCATCACAGATCGTGGACATTAAAATTACTAGATAAGTTACTAATTCGTAGCCGGTCTAAAGATGCTCGAGAAAATTATTAGATGAATGAAGTTCCATCGTTACTCGAATAGGAAGGTTCATCCGTCATACACCAAATTGTTTTTGATCGATTTTAGTTGTATCGGAATTTAATTGCCGCGGACATCGGAACATCTTTACGAGCACCTGACAGTGAAGTAGGCTTTACTTGCTTTTTAACATCTGATTTTTATTTTATATATGAGCTAAAATGTTGGGGGATATCTTTAACTTGATAACAAAACATCATGGGCTACGTTAGAAACTCTTAACTAAATCGTACCATTCGGTAGAGTAAAAGGGGCTTATGGGGGTGGTTGCACGGCTTCGGGACATTGACCAGCGAGCCGAGTCTAGCGGCGGAGCTGAATAAATATATAATAGCTACGACAAACATAAACATATGTATTACATCTTGATAACGTACACGGCAATCTTGTGAAGTAGCTGATAATGTTTCATATTCAGGCAAGTAACTGAACTCTGTATAAAATAGTACATTTATGAACCCATATGTCCATGCAACTGCACAGAATATAAACCGAGGATTTACCTTCCAATGCGGGCTACGGTGAGATAAAAAACAGATATGTCCATTAAAATATCCCATTAATAACGGTGCATTAAGCGCCGTTACGGCAACTTGTTGATTACCACGGGTTCAGAAGCCAATCACCCCAATAGCTCTCTCTACCCCCACGCAACCCTTAAAATTAAAGCAACACGCTAAATTCCCGACTGTGAGATAATTAACAATAAATCTTCCGAATAAGCGTTTAAATAATAAACTTCCATTTTTCTACAATAATTCAGATTTAAAGTTTCATTTTGAGTGCAAATAAACAAAGTTTTATTTCGTTGAGTGCAACGTTTAACTAAGGTAGCTATATTCTTGCACTTAAAATTTTATGGCGCTCATAATTATAAAGTACCTGGAGGACCGAGCTTTGCTCGGTTTGCTTTTTTTTTTGGTAAATCGTGTATTTTGTAAATTACATTTGGATACAAATTACTGAGTAATGAAATATGCATAATATTTTTCAATCTTACCGACGTAATAATAATAAAATATGAACTGGTGTTTTTCACAAAAGAAAGAACTTTAAAAAAAGGGAAAAAAATAACAAATCGACAAAAAATTAAAAATAAAGAAAGCAATGATCTGGAATCGAAATAAAAGTAAAAAAATAAATGTGTAAATGATCGTGACGCGAACCACGGCCGTCTGTTTTGGTGCCGCCCGATTACCGACCGAGCTATTATGACATTTTCTTTTGCGGCGAAATTTACCGTCATATTCGAATGATATTTTTCCTTCCCTGAAAACAGGGATAAAACGACATTTTCTAAAAATAAAACCTAGCTAGATCGATTTTTCGCCCCCGACTCTACGCACATACTAAATTTCATGAAAATCGCTGGAGCCGTTTCCGAGATTTCATATCTACAAATATACATACATATAGATACATATCTACAAATATTTATCCCTCGGCCAGATCGTAGAGTTGGTGATCGAACAAAGAGCGTCATTTTCAAATTGTCAGCGCAAATGCACCTTAGGGATGTTGGGATGGAGTTGGCGCGTGCATCTCGAATGGCGCACTGAAGGTCGTGCGCCATTCGAGATGCACGCGCCATCGAAAGGAGCGCCGAGGAACGCCGCCGCGAGGAGTCACGCCCCACTCCACTTTTACTATCTCGGCGGAGGGTTATCAGGGGTGCATCATGCCATAGTGCTTGCACTTGATTCATTTAAGTACACATTGCATACTATACCGTTTTCAGAATTGAAGGAACGACTGGTAAGCAACATTATTAGCTTTATTTACTACTTGAATCATCTGTGCTAAGCACAGGGACGAAAATTTTAGTTGCACCTATTGCTTTATAAGTCCTTGATTTATCCAATACCGTATTCACAAATGCCATACCGCAAAAATGTGTGGAACGAGTGGTCTCATTGCGAATTTGCCATCGACGGACCTGGCGTTGATAGTGGGTCTGTGAAAGTGATCGGGTATTTTGCAAACAATTGCCAGCCCTGCGATAGAGCGCGTGGGCGAGAGGCTCGAGAGGTCGTCAGATCGTCGCCGCCGCGCCGCCAACCCCGACTCGTTAACCCAATTTCAATCCGTCAGCCACCACACCACCCCACCGCCCCCTCGCCTCTATACTGCCCCCGTTGTTTCCAGACGTCAATGGAATCGGTTAAATGGGAGCGCTATTACCGTCACTCTCTCTCCCGACGTAATAAATCAGAATCCAAGAGTCAAAAATCAACTTGAAGCGGTGATTTCTGAAATCTTCAAATTGCCGACTGCTACGCATTTTTTGAATGTCGCGAGGAAATATTGCTAATATTAACACGTTCTTCAACTAAAGAGTAACACTCAAATTAATGGAATTGAATCTGCCGTTGCAGATTTAGCACATTGTTCACGGTATATACTTTTTATATAAAACCGTGTGAAAAGGTCCTAATAACGAGAGTTCGAGAGTCGTGCAGCCGTTATACCTTTTAAGAATTTTATATTGAAGAATAAACACAAGTATGAATAACATGATAACTTTACTTAGTTTGTAATAAATGTATCTCCCAAAATCCTATTGTAATTGCATTACCATAACTAATAATTATTGTTGATAACGACTGCTCTATTCCTAATAAATAAAATCCGAAGTCTCAATGAATCAAAAATTGGACACACTAAATTCGAATTTTCTTCTAAAAGAAAGCGAATACCCGATTGATTTGAAAGACGATAAAAAGAAGGGTACACCCACCTCACTAGCAATACAAATGTTTCCAATAGATTTTACAATAGTTTAGTTATTTTTTTTCTTATATATTTACGCAAAAACTATATAACATTAAACGAAGGTATCTTTAACAGATGCTGCAAAATATTAAAACGCATAAATTTAAGTTTAAAATAAACGCCATAAAATCCGTAAAAAATCGATGAAAACATTAATAATGATTCCGTTCCTTATAAAGAAGCTTTTTGATGATAGAATTAATAAAGAAAATAATACGAAGCCGTTTTTTTAAGATTACGAATATTTGTCTTCGTATTAGAATAACACCGTATATTTACTGACTTCCTGATTTTACGCGAATATTATATTATACATATTAAGTAAAAAAAACGCGATAAAATCCGTAAACTAGTTTCATTTAATAAACAGCGTTTATTATACGGAGATGACGTCGCTTGGGAACTGGTGCACGAACAAGCTCCGTAATACAATCACTATTTGGCAACGCATAAGTTCGCAAGGCACTCAAACCTTAGGGTCAAGGCACCAAAAGGCACTAAAAAATAACTATAGTAACGTCATCTATTGTATTTGCAATAACTTGTTTACCGACTTAGTACTTCCGAGCCGCAAATTATCTTGACTGTGCAACATTTTTGCGACATTGAAAAATTCTAGTTTTGATTACGGTTATGAGCCTAAGTGACATTTTGTTGCTTATCTTTTTAGGTCTTTTAAAATTGCCTTGGGTATCTGACAAATGATTTGAGTTTACAGAGTAGTGTATGAATAAAACAGTAATATTATTTACTTATATTGAAATGGAAACATAAATTTTTAACTAATCATTCTGATCATGATCACCTTTTGGCAACTCAAATGACATTTGATAAGCCACTTGACGGCTGATTAGTAAATCAAAAACCGGGCATAAGTGAATTAATCAATAACACTGTACAGTTTAACCGGGTATAATTATTATTAGTAATAAAGTTTCAAATAAAATATCAAATATTGTATAATATTTATCGGACAATATCAGATCGTATCAAACATTGAACAGAAATATGTGCAACGTAACACTGTGGAAAATAATCTAGAAGAGCGGTGCACAACGGAATGTCAGTCCGTTATGGGGGCAAATGAGATGAGGTAGAGTAAATCGAGCCCGTGTGCAATCTCACGTTTGTCCCCTTCCCCTGACGCACCGTGGAGACGCTGAGTGGCGTCCACGGGGAACGGAGCAACTTTTCCTACATATTTGTGCATCGCGGTCACTCTCTTCAATCAAGAGGAGCATTGGATTTTTATCTTAGTAACGAATTACAAGGACACAGGGCTTTCGTCCTTCGTAGGACATTCATCGTTCGATCGTTCTGTTCGAGATCGTTGTTCAAACCAGCCAGTCATAAAAGAGAAATCAACCGAAAATATATTATTCACACATTACAATTCTCTTAAATCTGACAGCTTATCGAAATAGATATATCACTTTATCCCGGTAACCATTTACCAAACCAACTGATTTGTTTTCTGCAAGTACATTCACAATTCCATTCAATCTCTCTTCTGTCAATCTAAAATAGGTGAATGAAGAAAAACATCTGTGACGTGACAGTGTCTCGCGTTTTCAATAATGATTAATTCGACCGCATGTAGCCTTCTAGAGTATTCTATCAGTGTCGAGACCGCATGTAGCCTATCAACAACGTATTTCTTACATTGACGGAGACGTTACAAGTCATAAATTTCATATCGGATCCCTCGTCAAGGGAATTGTATTCTACACTCACAACAAATGTGAATGGAAAACAAAACAAGTGTAAATGTGTTTGAAAAGGACTCTTCCATACATTTCTGAGAAATAATTGTAAGGTAGTTTCAAGGCCCGTAAATCGGTTATATTACGTGTGAACCGGACGCGCAACTTTGAAAACTAGAAACATAATGAATATTAAACACAGTCCGCGTTCGGTGCGCCTGCACTTGAGCTCTCACGCGCACGGAGCTGCGTGGTGGCCTCAGTTTTACGATAGCGCGCAATAGGAGGCCCAGCACAGCACACATTCCCTATTAATATGCCAGATTCGAATTGTGTGAACAACATTCCGTTGTGAATATTTATCTCGTTCATTTTGTGACAACCCTACGCGTAATTGTCACTCACACAATGCTCACACATCAACAATACAACGTGTTCAAATATTTCAACGAGAACATAAATCATTTGCAAATAATATAGATGAAAAACGGATAATATACAATGTCTCTCATCGGAAAGCACAATCATATGCTCCAACATCCAACATGTTTCATTGTTTAGCATACAACGATGTGTACGATCACGCATGCCGTTTGTTTGTACCGTGTCATTTATATCTGTATATCATAGTAAAATACATTACAAGCCCGAAAATAAATGAGATAATGTAGTCGCCGGTTTGTTTTTTCATGCAGCAATGGAAGACCTTGATAAGAAATGTTCAATCCAACATGATTATAATATTTGCACAATTTGAGTAAAAATGCGAGCGAAGCTGCGACCAACATCAAGTCAAGTATAAACAAAGAACTGATTCAATTCGATTGCACAACGTAAATTAAAATCATTTATTAACATTTAACACATCGAGTTAATTTAAACGCTTATGCAGTGGAATATAAGAAGGCTCTTACTAGTCCAGATGTTGCAACATTCTGAGCGGGTTATAGAAGTAAGGCTTCGATCAGCGTATATCATATTGCTTGTGCATGTTACAACTAAGGCGGCACTAACAATTCTCTTAAAGCTAATTATACGTCTACAATGCTGACATTGTCTTATGCTGTCAATGTACGACTCTTTGCTACCAACCGTTCACTTATTCATAGAATGCATAAACCTGCTCCTAACGACAACCTTAAACATTACTCAAATAGAAGTTAATCTTGGTAAGTTTACGTTAGTGTTTAGAATAACACTGAGTACGGTATTCAGCGCGGTTTAAATTTCGGGTGTCCAAACGGTCGCGAGTCGATTATGCGGCGAATTTAATGTGTTTTTAAAAGATGCGTCTGTTCGCAAAACATCGGAAAAGCTGTAGACGTGGAAATTATAATTAATTCATGTCTTTCCGGGACACGCGTAAATATGATAAATTTTGCAGATAGAATACAAAAAGTTTAGAATATCCAAAAGTGCACACCTCATATTCATCATCTATTTAAAAAAAAAAAACAAATTATACCAACTTGTATTATTTACTCAATTTAAGAAAAGTGTAAATAGTGAACTTTTTTTATGAAAAAAACATTATTGATAAACTACAGGTACTAGGCTATTGATATTAAATAGGTAATTAGTTGATGATGTTATTAAGATAACAATAAAAAATCGGTTTCGATAAATCCATTTTTTTTTGGAAGTACACGTGACCACATCGTAAAAAATCCGGAGGTCCACGTAATTTTTTTAAATAGCAAAATAAATTTATTTTTTACGTAAAAATGAGATAGATTATTGAAACAGTTTTTTGAAATACAATCTACCCTCATCGAATAAATGCCAATTGGTTGTAGCAGAGGCAGTTTAAGAGCAAAAATTTTCTTGACCTTAATTTGTCGAGAGTACATGACAACCTCATCTGCTTCGCGGTATGAAGCGACCGTACTTATCCTGGATTAACATGAAAATTTAACCATCGACTGCCAAACATATAATACACTAGTTGCCGCAAAACCAGGAAAACAAGATTGAACTACCTAAACGTGGTATGGAACAAAAAAAATCTGCTATTTATAGTATCTTACTTGAAACAAATATAATAAATTAGTACTCTTTATTACTATTTAAGTTTTAGCAAATTTATGGGAAAACTAAAAAATTGTCTTTAATAGTCATGTGAAAGTTCGCATTGACCTAAGGAAACTTATTTGCCCATAAAACGTTCAATAATAAACAAATAAGATGTAAACTACGATGACCCGTGCGAAATTTTCACACAGCAGATATAATTATGTGTAAATAAAGAATAAACATCAGTTCCCAAATGTAAAGAAATTTCAATAGATAGGGTTATTATAAATTTTTCTTTATAAGATATTTTTAAACAAAAGTTTTTTTATCAGCAGTTTTAAAGCATTGACTTAATCCAAAAGCAGCAAACTGAAGCTTTAAAATGGTATTTGAATCATTGAATTTCATGAAAAATTATGGGAGCTATGGCATTCAGTCAAAAGAAACCCCTCTATCTGATATATAAAATTGTCGTGTCACGGTGTTTGTAATTCCTCCTTAACGAAACTCCTCCGAAACGGCTCGACCGATTTTCGTGAAATTTTGTGTGCATATCGGCCAGGGTGGAGAATCGGACAACATCTATTTTTAATCCCCCTAAATGTTAAGGGTGGTCCACCCCAAACATTTTTTCTACCCTACAAATAATTTATATGGCAAAGCAACGTTTGCCGGGTCAGCTAGTTATAATATAATAGGGAGATGTAAAAAGAAACAAACGCTTTTAATGTCATGTTCATACGGTGTATAGTTTTAAAGTAATATTTAAAATATGTTTTCTTGCGTCTATATTTTCGTGAAAGAAATAAAAAAAAATCTCTAAATTAATGGAACCAGTTAGAAAACGCACGTCTCTTATAACGACCAGAGTTCGAACCCGACAAAGCTACTCACCCTGGCGTCATAGACCCTGGTGAGCGCGTCGTAGCGGATGGAGCCGAGGAAGATGACCGCGCAGGCTGCGTCCCCACGCCCACGCGCCACCAGCTCCACGCACACCATCTCACCATCGCGCACCACTATGTCGCAGAACACCTGCGCACAAACAGAAACCGCAATCATTCAATTCTTCCCCTTACCTAACCTAGTTGAGGTAAACACGACATATTTATCACATTGTCAATAGTATTGACTAAATTCTTTCCACAAGCCACCTGCACACTGACAAACCTCCAGCTAACAAAATACTTCTCTCATGTGGAAATTGATCCCGCGACCCCTGGCGCCGAAGCCAATAAGATTAGCAACTGCATCACCACGACACTTAAAACACAAGTTTCACACATATTTTTAAATCACATTACTAAGAACGGGTGCATCACTCAGTCAGAGACATTAAACTATGCTTCTGTTAAGAAAGCTGCCAAGAACGGTTATAATTTGAAGAAAACCAAGTAATAATACTGTAAGTAATAATACTAACGAAATCAGGGCTTGTTAGGCGATTATTGGCGTTTCCCAGTGCAATCATTAGGTTCCTTCTTCAAAGTCTACATTATTTAAATCCCTTCATATCATAATAGTTATCGCAGCAGAAGGGATACATGACTATGGTTGGATCGCCACAAAGGCCTAATCAGTCGAGTGATGCGGTAACCCTTATTGCCCAGGCCGTTCCTTCCGAACGGCATAAGACAAAACATTCCACGAGTATGACGATAAAGGACGAAACTATCGAACAGTTGTAAACAACTATGACTCATAAGATGACAAATTGTCAGGCCGGTTTATAAAGCTAGCATTAGTAATTCATCTTGAGGTACGAATAACATTGACTTATTCTAATTTTTCCTTTGCTTAAAATTCTATATGCCTTGCTATAAACACGAATCATTGTTTTCAATAAGGAATGTCATCAATATCTGCTGAAATCTAAGTCGCTGCGTTATCGGCGTCAACGCGGCCGATATGACGACGTCTGCGATAAGCCCATCGCCGAACAATCTGCTCTTTTGTACGGCCACTCTCACCAGCACTTTCCACGCTTTATAGAAATCGTTCGATAACAGTGAAATGAACGAATCATACTAAACAAATAATAGCATAGAGTTTCGTGAGAGGGGTTCTTTTTCCATAATTAAAATTTTTGATCATAAAAGCCGTGGTTCCTAACGACTCGTATTTATTTGGGGAACAAATTTTAAAAAATCAACATTATTGCCTGATTACGATAAAACAATAATCGGATGGAACAGCTTTATAATTTCCTAAATATCAACAGAATGACGATGCTGTTCGTATTTAAAAATGCGCGTCGTATGTTATTTTTGTTGGTTACGTATCGGCCAATTCCAGAAACAAGTTCTCCCATGCTCTCTATCGAAACGGGCCGTAATTGAGCGTAGCCTGTGTTTAGCAAGCGAGAGAGGTGATAAGGCGACGCGTCATTGGTAAATATAGAGGACGATTCCGTACACAGCGACACGCTACGTTGACTCACAGGCACTGCATTGAACCTCGGAATATTGTCACTGCTCCAGTAGATTAACTCGCTGGATACTGGTCAAAGTGGTGCTAAATATAATGACGAAATTCACATTGTAATCACGACAGAAATAAGAATGATTATCATATTTTATATATAGATATAAAACGTATGTCAGTTTACCACAGACCGATTCGACAACAACAGTTTATTTTCAGCTGTACGCAATTAACGCAAATATGTTATTTACGTACATGACGATTCGGTGCCGTTGCTAAGCTTACTGGCTGCGGTGTTGGGGACCGTGGGTTCGATTCCCACACGGGACAAGTTTTCTATGACCCACAGATAATTCCGGAACTGGGTATTCTTGTTTCCCAAGGAGGGTTGACATCAGGCAGGTCGGTCGTAAAAATCCAGCCCAAACCAATTACAACATGAGTTACACGTTGTGCCGACCCCCCCTGCGTGAGTAAGGGCATGAGGACGATGATGATGACGTTATTTACCTAAATGACACAGATTATTTTAATGACGTCACAAAAAAGGAAATATTTCAGACAAACTATCGTTAGTTATGCGGAAACCTAATGAGATATATAGAACAAAAGTTTAGTTATTTTTGGTCAAGCGCATCGTGACCCGCCAATAAACAGCATTGTGCTGTTTAGTTTGTATTGTTGTATAGAGGGGTGTGGGCAGACCGCGCGCTTTCGGCGCCCCGCAACCGAAACAAAGGAGCCATCAACAGGTAATGGAATGGGTGAGGCGGCGTATTGGCCGGCAGTAGAGATCGATTTATGACGGACTGTCGACGGCCGAGCGCGAGCGCTGGATCGATTTGCAAGCCAAAGGACGAAGAGCGCCACCTTTTGTCCACGTCTTACCGCACGACCTTTAAAGACCCTCTAAAAATACCATGAAAAATTGCATGATTTAGAAGAGGAACAGGTTACCAGTACTCATATTAATCAGGGCCTTAATTTTATGAAAGTTATCTCGTGTCGTGAGCCCTTCTAAACGATGCGAGAGAAACTTATCTGTTCAATACAACATTCATTAAAGAGGGCAATTTTCAATCTTCTTTTTTTTTTAAAACATACATAAAATATAGCGTTTCTACTTTACATCAACATCGCCATCAGCGTTTCAGCGTTTCAGCGTTTCAGCTTTGCCCGACAGTGGCAAGGGCGGTTCTCACCGCCCCCAGCCACCGATTAACTAAAAACACAGTCGACGACCATCGGGGTCTCGGTCCGCACCGCAACCTCGATGGCCCTTAGATGACATGTCGTAGTTAAACGCACGCATGAGCACATGCGCGGCCCTACCCACAGCGAAGGGCCCAAACCCGTGGGTTCTGGCTAGCCCACCGGTTCTGCGTCAGATGAAAGTTTAATAGTCTCGGGACTGAAAGCACAAACATCAGTTAATACAAGATACAAGAAGCTTTGCCCACAGACAGACATGAGACACCTGCATCCATCAACCTCCCGCGCGCTCACACACACACGCACAAGCACACGCACTTTCAAACGCACACAAACACACACACGCACACACTCACACACAATTTTCTTAAACAAAACTTATTATTACTCTATAAAGTCCACAAATACTTTATATTCAATTAAGAAAATTAGATGAACTATCATTTCATCATCTGCAGCCTAGATTCTCTAAATAATATAAGTAGAAACCGCGCTAAATACTTTATTTTTTAATTTATTTCAAATAAAATAAAGGACAACTCGATGAGATATCATTTAATAATCAAATGATAATATAATTTATCAAGGATTATTGATATTAACACAGAAACACACTTATCGAAAAAGTTTATCGTAGAAATAAGATAACTAAAATTATATGTTATAATTATTCATGGCTTTACCCTATGCTATATTTTTTATGAGAAAAAAAATTAAGCGAGAGAGTGGCAAACTAGCTGGCGGTTCACCTGATGTTGATATCCGCCGCCCATGGACATTTGCAACACTCGTAGGGTTGCAGACGCGTTGCCACCTTTTAATAAAGTGGCCCCCGACTACCTCACTCATCAGACGAAACGCAGACCAGGGCAGACCTATTGTATAGGGTGTTCAGACCTAAGGAGTTTTGCGATATGCGCCTATTGTGGGCATAATGGGCCACGTCCGGCAATTCCAGGTCTCGACACAAAATACGCGTTGTGTCACGGCGGAGGAATGCAGCCCATGACGCATGTTACCTATTGCAAATACGGACGTGTTTTTCTCCGCGTCCCCAACAGATGCTGAGGCCAAGTTTTCCTTTACTACGACCGCATACGTGGTTCACTTAATTTTAAAACGTGTTTCGGACGATTACTACGTGTATAGGAAGACTTCTTGCTTGAACATTGAAGTTCATTTCGAATATACATGTTTTTTACGAAAACACCTATACTCACGTTATATATAGAATATCGAATTATGAAATAAATGCACTGTTTTATTAATGATTTTAAAAGTAAGTCAAGGCCTGGATATATTTTCAGTAGTTAATCAATATAAAACGACATTTATCGAACGTGGGAACAAATTTTGGGAAATGAGTACGTTTTAATCAGCGTCGATACGGTTGTTTATTTCAATATTAGACATTGATACCTTATTTTTAGATACCAAAACCAATCTTTGAAATAACAATAATTGTGCAAATGATCATGCAATTCAGTATATACTTATAAAAGTTTTGAATGTTATTATTGTTCAAGAGCGTATTCATTTTATTTTAAAGCGGCGAAAACTTGTTTACGCCTTAGTATACCACAGTCAATACATACATTAAACGTACATCGGATTCAGTAGGTATGGTAACAGTGGACAATGGCGATTGCAAACCAGGAAAATATACTTGACTAGCTTTTCGCTCGCGGCTTCGCTCGCGATAAAGCCCTTGAGTAAATATATTTCAACCCTGTACAACACTTTTTTTCTAACTAAAATAGCCTATGTCCTTTCTCAGGCTCTAGCCCATCTGTGTACCAAATTTTTTTCAATTAACACGGCAGTAGTTTTGGAGTGAAAGCGAGACAGACAGACAGAGTTCTTTCGTTATTTATAATATTAATGTATGGAAGTATGGATTTATACCCTAGAACCAGGACAACATGGGCTGGCCCATCTTTTATGTTCACCGTCATAGTTCCCTCATACTAAAGCACCAGCTGTGCTATTTATAAACCTATAGGTTACTCATTCCGACGCGCGTACTTGTTAAATTTTAAAAGTTACGCAAGCTTTCACGCTGCGATCTGCGTGACTTGGGCCTTAGATTGGTCCGCTCCGGCTGGAGCAAAACGTGAGCGGCGGCCGATCACGTGGCCGGCCACGCGGCGCACTCCCCTTCATTTACTTTTTTATTGATCGACTTGTTAGCAACAACTAACAGACGCGAGCCGTAATAATTTTCAAAAGTACCTTGATTTGACCTACTCAACAAAAAAATCTGTCAATAGTCAAGATTCTCAACAATTTTCATTCGAGATATCATTTCACTTTTAACGCCCTAAGTAAAAGTACGTAGTCCTGTATGGAACTATAATTCTGACACGAGTTATGTGGAGGGCTTTAAATCCATCGAGAACGGCGGACAATAGTTTTGCGGGGTACAGCGGATAGGATACACCAGGACCGTGCCTGACCGCTACGGCAGCCATCTAGATAAATACACTGGAGTATCGATAGATTTTCAAATATAAATGGAAATAAACGGTTAGTGGAACTTTCTAAACACGTCATAACAACAGATGCCTAAAAAGGAACAAATAACAATCAAACATATTTATTTGTGATCATACGAAATATTCAATCGGGAAGTGACCTTCGTAGCTGATGAAGGTGAAATAGCTACAGTTTATGAATAATTTTAACTTACGTATATAACGTTTGAGCAGATCGATATGAAACTATCACTAAGATAACAATACTTTATCGTTGATTTATTTAAAAACTTAAAACGAAAATTACCCTAAAATATTGAAAATAATGATAAACAAACCAAAATGGCTGTTGGACTGAAGCCTATAAATGTTTAATTATCATGCCCTTGTAGCAAGCGTAGACTCCGCCAACCGGTGGGAGGAGAGGACGACCAGCATAAACCAATTAGGTATCGAGAATGTTCGTTAAAGATCCTTAGGAAGAAATAAAAAATAGTCCATACTGGCTCTCAAAGTAGTCTGTAAATACGCACACGATGATTTGATACGCAAAATACGACAGATGTTCAATTTGAGGAAAAATAAATTATGTTTTTGTGACATTTGAACGCGAATTGTTAAAATTAAAAAGGGAGACAGATACATACACGAGGACATCGAGATGAAGCAAAAAGCAATACATGAAATACTCGAATCAGTTCTACGAATTCATCATCAAAACAAATTTTTGATTCCAAGATTGAAACATTATGAGATAAACATACAAAAACCATTATACCTAATTGACAAATATCATTTAAAACAAAGGCCATAAACATTATAATAGTGGCGGTAGTATAAATTTAATGGCTAATAAACTTGTTAATATTGTTTTAAGTTCATATACACCTAATTTACTTCACATCGTAAATATTTAACGATTTTTGTTAATTAGTTTGTCTAAGTTTAAGGTATTTATTGTTATAGGCAATGAGGTATTACCTCATTGGCTTAACATGAATGTTCCATCATTACTTACATTCAATAAGCTCCACCACCCGAACCAACTACAAACTTCAAAGCAAAAATCTTTATAACTATAATTTCGAAAAAATGTAGTTTCTTCTGTGATATTTTTGAGCACGTTATAAGTCGGCAATTAAAATTTAAATAATCAACTGCAATTACATATAATGCAGTGTAATTTTAGTGTTGGGAAATAACAAAAAACGTTGAATGCTCGTAGTTAAATTTTGAAATCGCATGTTACGTGACAGCCCCCTCGGCCCCCGAAACCGTGACAAGCGGGCAACGGGAACACGTTAGCGAATGGGCGAATTGGCTGTTGGACGTCATTATCGATACGCACAGCGCCCATACAATGTCCCCTTCCCGCGTGCTTCTTTCGAGTTTGGAGCTTTGCCAGAAGCAAACTCAAAGCAAAAAAGTCCACCACTAATCAACAACACGCAATGACGCGTGTTATATACATTATCTATCTCTCAAGGTAAAGGATTCTATTATTGAGATACACAATGTAATCGGTCTCACGTTATGATTATTTCGCTTTTATATAATGATGAAACAACTGATAAATTAATGGCTGCTTCCCTTAAGTTAGATGCACTAAAAATATTGAACAAGTTTACTCGCCTTTGACAGTGAGATGACATTAGCCGCACCTACATCAGATGCCGACGACTTGCCAATAAAAGCTTTTTTATTGGCAAGTCCTCGGCAGTGATTGATTTGGGAATTTTCATTCTCCACTCATTTATAATAACACGAGATTAACGCGGGTCTAGCGTGACATTATACATATACGCCATTTGATACCATTGTTATCGTTTTAACCGAAGCTAGGCTGTAAATTTTATTGCATCATTTAGGGAATGATGACAATATTATAATACACAGTACGAAAATACTAACAAAACGTTGATGAGTCTACGGTGATTCCACACAACAGCAGAATCCAGTGATACGCTGTTGTGTGGATCAATATCAATCATCAACATCTGAAATAAATAACAAATGCGACCACCGAAATAGGAACGAGCTCGACGCAACCACTTCCTAACTCCCGTTAATCTCAGAAATTTCTTCTCTGTTAAGACTCCATTTTCATAATGCAATTTACATATACTCAATCAGACAGTGAAATACTCGTAACTTTGATCACTACGAACAAATTGAATAAAACTTTTAATTAATAATAATCTAATCATCACAAATAATTAACTAATTATGACGAATTCATTTCACATTTTATCTAAAACTTGATATCTGCCAAGTGCAAACAAATCAAACTCTGTAACTTTTCCCAGAACTTAATACAATTTAAGGTTGCAAAATATTAGAATCTGCCCTCTAGATATGTTCTCATTCACTATGCAAGAACAAGCTTAATTAAAAATGTTTTAATTGTTTACCCTCAAATTCAAGTTATATACTACAACCTGTTAACAAATAAAAAATTAAAAATGTAACTGGATCATATATTATTAATAAAGTCATGAAAATTAGATCCTAATTTTTTAAACATTAAAATATTGAGTTACATTTTACGTATAATCACAATTTTAAATTAAGTATTATATCTGCAATTTGAAATTTAAAAATAAGCCATAGGCCATAGGCGTAATTAAAAGCGCAGAGCACGCGAGAGCCAGAGGGCATATGGGTTTAATACGAGACAATGCTGGGTGCCTCCTGCCTGCACCCACGCCACTACCTTTGTCTTCAACACAATGGAAATATGAAAAAAAGTTTAAATCCAAAACAACGGTGGGCCGAGTGGGGACAAAAACGCTCAAAGTACGCTCAGCGCCCGCCTGTGGAAGGCTTTTAGAATGGGAAATGCGCAAATTCCGCCACCGAATGCGGAGTACAAAAGATTTTCAATGCAAGCGCTGCCTCCCATTTTACCCCGTGCACACATTCATATTAAAATCACTGTCTGCATTCGAGTTAATATCCGACCAGACAGAATTATATAACTTCGTAGCTTTTCTCATATAGAAATCAGTACAGCGCTAGAACGTCAAACGGTTTTGGTTAGTGTGTGTTGTAAACCTGATGTTAAATGATCACCTACTAATATGGATAAATGTCTACTAATACAAAACTTTAGTCACCGGGCGAAACTTACATTTCAAGCCCCTCTTTTGTGAGTCTGAGGCACTTCCACAAACAGGGCTGGCCTCGAAAGAAAAAGGCTGCTGAAATCTTGTGAAAAGTTGCCAACGAATGCGGTGCCATTAAATTCGTCCCAATTATGACAGCAATGATATTGTTTCTAATGCACTCTGTTTTTAACTTTAATGTTAAAATGCAACGTATTCCATACGGTCACATTCCTAGTTGGGACGCGAATGTGGTGGTGCAATTATTTATTTTATCGTATATTTTCCCGCCGTTTGTCTCGCGCAGTGTTATGCAACTGCGTCGAACCATTCGGCGATAGTAGACGTAGTGCGATTTATACACGGAGCGTTTCTGCCGTTGTTGGCACGTGGTTGGACCATGTGGCAACCGTTAAGTAGATGCGATTTACGAGTTAATAATACTTTTGATTTTTACATGAGGCGTTTACCTACACAATCAAAGTCACGGACATAAGTGTTTTGTCATTCACATCACTCAGCAATCCTCATGTTTCGCCTCCAATTACGCTGAATATCACTTTGATTATGTGCCTTGTTCGTTGTTCGCGTGTCACTCGATCCCAACATATCCCGATAACAAAATGGCGCACGACGCGTTATGTTGCAATATTGAAATAAAATGGGCACAATACGTGTGAGTATATCTTCTGTTTATAATGCGTGTACACAAACAATCTACCGCATCATTATCACCTAAGCTACAAATTTAAAAGGAAAGCGGATGGTCTTGCAAATCACTAGGGTAAATATCTTACACATCGGTTTATATTCCTAAATATTTTTAGCCTGCACGTACCGTCAAACGCGTTAAAAAAAAACTCAAGCATAATCGTGCGCCATATTTGGTACGAGAACTGGGGTACCACACGGATATTAATAATAACAGTAAACAAGTTTGAAAGCCGCTCCGCGTACCTCGTCAAAGTTGTCGACCATGAAGCAAATGTGGGGATACGTCATCTCCTCGCCCTCCCCTTTTGTGTCCATCTTCCGGCGGCTCGGTGACGCGTACACCTGCACACAGACGAACGAATAAGAATCAAGAACACATTTCGCAAGAAAAAAAGAAAAAGAAAAGTATAACGTGTGATTTTTGGTCAGATAACAACTGTAATAGATAAAGCACATCAAAATAACAAATTCAATTTATTTCTAGTAAAGCATATAATTTGCAGATATTGAAATAAAGATTTAGTTCTCAATCCCTAATGAGTTAGAACACAGGTTATTAACGCGTTTATTAGCGCGACGAAGCACCGCCAGGGTAGGCCACCACGCAGACATGAAAACAAACAAACCGATGCATGTCACTGAATGGATTACAACTCGCGATCCGAGGCACGCGTGGGTTTGGTTGTTGCGTAAACCAAAAGTCAATGACACCGCACCGCGTGTGCCGATTAATGTAAGCAGACTGAATGCTAAATGCATACACGTTGCCAATTTAACATAGTCCCCATTCAAGTACGCATCATACAATTAATCCTTAATATACATACATTGATGTTATGCAAGAAAAGATTTTGTAAAAATTGTCGTTAAACATAGATCCTTAATATGATTTTAAATGAGCATATGACATCACTTACATATTTTACATATTATAATTATTTAAAAAAAAATATAAAGAATGTACGAGTAGTAGAAAAGTGTAGATGCAGGCGACAATTTAGAAAAGGCAGACATAGGAAAAATTGAGAGGCAGATTAATATTATAGTATTCAGAACGATATTTCGAGACGTCGCCGTCATCAAGATGCTTTAAATAAACTTACTTACTCATATAATTTTTTTTACACTTACAAAACCTGTTTTTCCGTAGAACTGAGTATTTAAAGAGACAAGCGTCTCTCAGAAAAATTTGACAATATTATAAGTGTTTGCCAATTTAAAACCTTCCTAACGACATTTCTTGAATTTACAACATCCAAGGCTTCATCCTTGATCTTATGTGCAGTGGTAGTGAGACAACAGGCAGTGGTCACATCTTCGCTACCACCATGTACACTCAGCGGGGACAAGAGGATAATGGGGTTAGGGATCAATTAGAGTAGATGATTCTGAACTGCATATGTCAGTGTCGCCGGTCTAGTCTCGACTCGTTCGTTACAAAATGCTGCCGGGGCAACCATTTGTTGTGAGAGCGGATTTTATGTGTGAGGGTATTGAACTGCTGATACAGACATTTTAATGAGTGCGCATTCTTAAATTCAAGGTATTGTTATTATATTTCTGAAAGAATTTCAATTAGGGGTGGTCGTAAAAATACCTTCAAAGGAATCTGACCATTTTCAAAACAAAGAATATTTTCACATTACCCTTTCTATGCCACAACATTTTCTTTCATCGATTAATTCTTTACAGAACGTCATAAAATCACGCCCTAATTGTTATTATATAACTTTATAAAAAAATTATGAAGGTATATATAATAATTAGGCATATTCTAAATCTACTATACTATTCGACAAATACTTAAGTATATTATTATGACCTCAAATATAACTGGCAAAATCTAAACGGCACAAAAAAGATAACACCATCTTGTTACAGGCATAAAAAATATTGCACATACCTTTTTTAAATTAGGAGCTCTGTAATAAATCAATATTATCAAACTTATTTGACATTGGTCCATAAATTCCTTGTACCTAATTATATAATAAATTGTACTTGAAGCTACAGAACTTTCCAGAAGAAAAACAAATACAATTAAAACATCCTAATCGAGGAAGCCTTATAGGCGCGGTTATTTGTGGCCACCGCCGGCTATGGGCGCGCGCGGTGTACGATAAGGCTAAATGTAGTGGACGCTTTGCCTATTGGTGACAAACGGACGCAGAGACCAGCGCTGACAGAGGGGGCGACGGCAATCAAAACGAAAGCACCTTCATCTTATTAATATAGGAGAATTGGTGTAACGTGTCGTAGGCGTGCTCATCTAGTAAAACATTCTGATGATGACATCAGTGCGAACTACTTTTTGTTCTAAACCGCAGCTTGCGCCGTCGTCACAAGGATAGTGGAAGTTAATTGACAAATGACAACGCTCTCTGCGCGCGACCTTGCGCCGCCTGCACACGCCGATGAAACCCCCCCACGCCCCACCCACCCTCTGCCCCCTCCGCGGCGACTTAGACGCTCTGCTCCATCAGAAAGTAAAGACAACATCTTCACGCTATTATTCCAAGTTACGACCATTTGGGTAAATGTTGTTAAAGGGGGATATTCTTCAGAAATTTTACTTCTATATGATGATTCCATAATGAAGACATTCATCTTCACATCATATCAATTAACTGAAAGAAAACTAAAACGACTAACTCTTCATATGTACGATGTGACGCAATATTTTACAAATAAACAATAGCCCTAAGCTCTTGCATCCCTAATCCTGTTATTGTAACCACCTAAGTCTTCAAAGAGCATCAGTCTAGAAATCAATGTAATGCTAAGAGGATTCCGTGCCTCCCAGCGGCTGGAGGCATAGCACGGACGAGTAACTCTACGCCACGCGGAAGCAACAATAACTGGGGAAGCCCGACAGTGCACATTTCTTACAAATATCTGATTAACTAAAGTATTATATATTAAGTAGAAAACCCGTAAGGCAGCATACGCACTATTACGATTAACGAGCGTTAAAATATTATACATGTCTTTTTACCTTTCGACTCTAGAAGTTTCTTGTTTTATTTTTGAAGGTTGTATTAAAACAAACGGCTACCATTAGCGTATGGCTCGTGAAATTTTCCTCGAGTTCTTGTTCTTAATCCTATTAATGAATAAATAAACCGCAGCCTGCCAGGTAGCCACGCAACGAACACGTAATAAATATAAGGAAACAGAGACACATTTATTAATTTTTAAACAAATCGCGAATAGAAATGCTCGCTGCTAAACAATTTTTCTTTATTTTGTATAATTAATGTAACCGAGGTCGAATCGATAACTATTGTGACCGTTGATAGTGGAAATACTTAAACCAAGATCAGAATAATGTCTACGGCCCCTGCACAGTCCCTGATACGGTAATTGAAACGCGATTGATTCCAAGTTTTAGCGTGATTGAATCCACAACAGAATGCAATTGTCCCGATCAATTGCGACGTTTAAGCGGACAATGTGCTTACTTTTAAAACAAATACATTATCGGTGTGTATCAGAGATTGAACAATTTTATGTTGTTTGTACGAGATATAGAATATAGCCTATACTTCTTGACAAATTGTTAATTTGGCAAGAGATCTTATGCAGTATCGGCGATGCGATACATTGCCAAAAAATATTCATGCTTTCAAATAAACAACTTGCTGTTGGTAAACTTACTGTTTAACTAATAATTAAAAACATATAGCAAACTTGTGCATTTATAATTCATATTTATCTATGTTATATTTATGAACTTGATGTCGTTGTCAATTATTATATGATTAAAATTTAGCCAGAAATTTCCAACCTATACTAATATAATAGATCAATCTATTTCAGAGGTCATATTAATGACCAGTATTGTCGTTAGATTATTTATAAAGTTAAATGATTTTTAATCATTTTAGCTAATGGCTATAGCTAGTTATGAAGAAAGTTTGGTAAATTCATTGAGTGTAACACTCATGACACAATTTTTAAATACGGTTTATAATTTGATAAACGAGTAAAGCGCGAAGCAAAACGGATGAGATGTCTATATGAGGTAAATAAAATTATAAAGATTGCACGCAAATTTTTATATACATTTTCTTCATAAATCCAAAAGTAAAATGTCTCACAGAACATGCATTATGCTTACGTACCTACTAAATCAATATTTATTTCGATGAAATGCCTTTTCAGTGTTTTAAGAACTGTTAACTGTTGGTTGACTAATATACACTAGCGGCGGTAGACCCGACAATTTTATGAGTAATGCTCAAAGATAGCTAATATAACATAAATTTGAAACATGACGAAGATCAAATAAAAGACAAGCAAAAGCATTGGCCTTTGCCGTCAACGGAGCGTATCCAAAAGAAACTTCTAACGACTTCCCGCAAATGCATCCAGCGTAATAAAGTAATACTTAGTTTGATTTTCATTCCTACCACGCAAGCAACCCATAAACGAAACTAAATAAAAAAATAATCGTCAACAGGTACGTCTAAGTCTTCCAAAGTTACGATATTATTCCTATTTATATTATCTATATTTATATATCACGTTAACGACTAATTACATTCAATAATAATGTTCAAACGTATTAACATAGTAATATTGCTATACCACATTGTATTCGCACAGAGCGTAAGTTGCCAAGGTATATGGACACGTTTAGCGTTGAACGAGAAGACATTTCGATAGGAATTCTTGGAACACGTTTGCCTGGTCCCTCTGGTCGTGCCTAAAACGGGATTGTGAGCAGCTTTCGCCCGTTGCACGGTGACACGGTCTCGTCATCGAAACAATCACGTCGTGACGTCACGGCCCTAGCGAGCCGCGCAGCGTGACGGTTCGCGGGCGAGCGAGCACAAAGCGCCACATTGTAAATGTCACCATTATCAGCTGTCACCATTACCCATTGGCCTTGGATCGGTGCACGGGAGGAAAGCGCAGGCATTTAGACTTTTGTCTTTTCGAACAGAACTTGGAATTACTCAAAGGAAACCGCTTTGAGAGGACAAAAACGTCCAATGATTATCCGAACATTGTTGTCTCAATTAATCTATCCTAGGCTTTGGACAAAAATATCGTTTAGATGACAACTACGCGAAAATCTCAATGATGAGCGGTGGTTGACGAAAAGTGTGAAGACAAAAATGTGATCATTCATCGTTCGTTTGTACATTTCGAAACAAATTACGGAGCCACTTAGTGCCTTACTATGTCAATGAAGTGCATTTTTACTGATTTCAGATTATTTAATTAATCAATATTCAATTTATAAAATAGGCTTACTTATCCGATTCCGTCCTATCTTTACTAACAATAGAACCTTTCTTTAGAATAAAACTATAGTTATCATTATATAACATAAGTAGAGAATTTTGCTCGTTTAGGGCGACTAATATGGATTTAAAAATAGGCGTAACGTACGTAATTTGATCCAAAATAATTGCCTTGATACTAATTTGACTTGAAGAGTAAAACTCAAATATAGAAGACTATGTCGTAGCAAACCAACAATAATTTAATAAATAGTCCAATTACCGTTATGCATATTTCTTAATAGGGAAAGAAATAAGCTATTAGAGATAACGTATGTAATTACAGAACAAAGCAGCATACTGATAGTTTTGGTTGTAAAAAAAACCGCAATTCTATGAAATTCTACCTAATATAGCATTAACGCAAAGTTGAATATCATTCCATCGAGTTCAGCTCAATTAGACAAATTAACTCACTGAAGAGTATAATTACTCAATTAATGACGTAATTCCCCCCCCCCCCCCCCCCCCCCCCCATCGCCCTCACGGCCAGGCCGTGAAAACGACCAGGGACATCTTGCACAAGACATAATTCAATTTACCCTTATTACTACGCCCTTTTGTCGTATGCGATTGAAAATTAATCTATTTAACTTGAATTAATCAATAAGTTATTATGGCAATGTAAAAGATTACCGGTGTTTATTGTGGCATGAAAACATATGCAAATGAATTATTGAACGTCTCATCACAGTTATTTAGTTAAAGGTTTTTTAATTAGACAATAAATAAGACGTGAAAGATGTTATGGTAAAAAAGCAATAAAATATATTTATTATACACATGTGTTACATATGGCATAGTTGTAAAAGGACTATTTCAAGTTAATCCCCACAGCTGAGGGCGCCGTGAACCGTGTCAATAATTTGAGAGCAACACCATCCCGCAAATCTCGCACTAGATTAGAATCCGACGAGAGCGCGGCGCTAACCAAATAAACGTGTTCAGTACTCCACATTCCGCACCCGGGGCATCTCGGGGGCGCGCGCCTCACCCGCCCCACGAATCGCTCCCATTGAGCCCTAACGCGACCGACAGATTTAACAATTTCCCCGAGCTCCCACTCTACGGACCGTCGCATTATTAATAACAATGCCATTGTTTTGCTGTCCCATATCTCGAGTGCACAATTGGCCTCCACCTCTTCCTCTTCGATAAACAATGAGTCACGGCCCCCTTTTTGTGACCGTACAAATATTTCTGCCTAATGGCAATCGACATTGGGTGTTGATAAGCGGCCCACGCTCCGGGCAGCTGGCGTGACGGCGCGTTTAAAAACACTTTCCCCATAATCGAAAATAACTCGATGCGTTCGAAAATAAAACCTCGTTCGAAGCCAAAGCGATTAAGCATCGATCCAATTTCGCAACGGTTGGCCGTAAGCGGCAATGAAATAATCTTACTTCCTTATGTAAACGTGTAATTCGAGTTGCAAACGGCAATCAATCTCCGCCGGTCGGTGGTTGCGCTCGAACGAGTGAGAAGGCGATGCGTTGGTTAGGGCCCCGCGGGTGCAGCCGCACCGTGCGAGCGGGACGCCGCCGTTGACGTCAGGCCGCTCTCGCTCGCACCCGACGGGCGCGCGGGGGCTTCGGCCGAAGGGGGCCGAGCGCCGCCGACCATAGCCAACCGGTGCCCATCCAGTTTCTAGTACGCGGCCGCCGCTTCGCAGACACGCTCGTTTCGCGCCGCCGCCGCCCCGGGCTCCATTAATGTAACCGTATCCAAGGGGCGCGTAGTGCTTTATCCGACAAGTGAATGAATCGGTGCAAACGTCGAGCGACCGACGAGTGCGCGGCCGAAGACACGGCGCCGTTCCGTTGCGAGCGCGACCTCGTTTAGGCGAGCGGAGCTGCGCGGCTTTCTAGCGGGCGCACGGGACGAATCGATGAGAGGCCGCGCTCGGCCCCGATGACAGCTCGCACATTGATCGGGTGAGTGTGGACCGCGTACGGTACCGCTTCCGTGCACTTTCTAAAGCGCGAGCCGCCGTGAAGTGCCCCTAAGGACCCCCTGCACGCCGCCGCATCGAAATCAAATTGACTAACACGCGCGAACGACACAATAGAAGAGCAGCCGACGGCGGCGCGGCGTTCGCCCCTCGTCGGTCTTTGAACCGCAGTCCGCTCATTTGTTTACTACGTTGAAACGTCTAGAAGCGATCGCAGTATTTGTGATCGTATTCATCAACGCTGAACAATTGCAAAAATTAAAAACAAAGGTAATCGAGCTGGCTTGTGCTAATGTGCAAATGTGACGACCCGACGGGTTTAAATAATTGCTTCATTTGGTTGCGTGGTGTAATTCACTTGGTTTTCTTCATTGGTAAAATTTAAGATACGGGACCGCAAACGAACCGAACAGACCATTCGTTAGATAAAATATCCATCGCGTTTTATCTGTGACGCGTTGTGAAAAGTCGATAACAGAGAGAGGAACTCATGCGAGCGTCGTTTAATTTCAGGCTCGATCCAGGCCAATGGTGATTGGATGACGATCTCAGCGCGCTCCCCGGACCAGGAGCCGTCGCCCCCGAAGCAGATCAACCTCGCGGAGCCGCTGGTGGAGTCGGTGCGCGTATACCTGGCGAATGAGCTGCCCGCCAAGCGGCTAGTGCAGCCGGCCGGCCGGGCGCCGCCCACGCCGCCGCCCGCCGCCTGTCACGCGGACATCGGCGGCGACACGGCGCGCCAGGACATCCGCGGCATCAACTTCGAGCCCCGGCTGCGGCGCAATGACGTGAACAACAACGCCGCCGCCTCGCGCCGCTCCGCCGCCACTCACACCGGCCCCACCGCCACCGCCACCGACGCCATGCCCAGCCAGGCCGAGCTGATGCAGCGCCAACCGCTGCTGGCGCGCAACGCCAAGCCGGACGCCCCGCAGCCCACCACCGACGACTCGGACCCCGACCAGGAGCACTCGCCGCAGCGCACGCACGCCTCCGACTTCGTGGTCGAGATCCCGGCCGGCACCGTCCGCGAGGAGCGCTACCCCAAAGAGATATGGAAGACCATAATCTCCTTTATTTTCCTCTTCCTCTGCGTCTGCATCAACATGATGTCGCTGTCGCTCGTGCACGAGCGCTTGCCCGACAGAAACACCACCCCGCCCCTCACCGATTTCATCCTCGACAACGTCACCGCGAGGGATTGGGGATTGGCCGTCTCCGAGTACCTCATCATGGTATCCACGACGGTCGCGATGCTCGTTGTCGTGTTCCACAAGCACCGGTTCATCGTCGCGCGACGCATGTTCTTAATAATCGGCCTGCTGTACCTGTACCGTTCGGTGACCATGTTCGTGACCGTGTTGCCGGTCTCCAGCACCACCTACTACTGCAGCCCCAAGAGCAACAACACGACACCGCTACTGGTGATCAGGAGAATGTTTTATCTCATCTCTGGCTTCGGGCTGTCGATTAACGGCAAGCATACTTACTGCGGCGATTACATATACTCTGGCCACACCATGGTGCTGGTGCTCAGCTACCTGATCGTGGCGGAATACTCGCCCAAGAAGCTGTGGCCCGTGCACTGGGCCATGTGGGGCTCGGCACTGCTGGGCGTGTCGTTCGTGCTGCTCGCGCACGGCCACTATACGGTGGACGTGGTGATCGCGTACTACGTGACCACGCGACTCTTCTGGACATTCCACTCGCTGCTGGTGACGCCGCACCGCAGCGGCGGCGGTTACAACCAGTACATGATCCAGCGCGAATGGTGGTACGGGCTGTTCACGTACCTGGAGCGCAACGTGCGCGGGCCGGTGCCGCGCCGCTACGACTGGCCGCTGCCCTGGCCGCGCACCAAGCTCTTCAGCCGGCTCAGCTAGTGACGCGCCCGCGCCCGCGCCGCGCCGCCGCCGCCGCCCCCGGAACGCGTATGACGCTCACCTTCTGCGAATGCCGCTTCAGCACCTGCAGCTCCTTGGGGCTGGTTCGCGTGCAGATCGCCAGCGTCAGCGTGTAGTCGAACTGGTGGACGATCAGGTTCAAGTAGACCGTCTCCTCCCAGTCGATCTCCGGGTCGCCGATTGGCAGCTTCTTCGAGTCCTTGCGAAACACTTCGACGTCCGTCTGCGGACGAGCGGACTGCGGTTAGTTGAGCACACGGACACCAATGCAGTGCGCGACTTTTGGCTGTGCTATTGTGTTAACGAACTTTAAAATGGTCTAGTGGGACTAAAGCCTCTGTGTGAATTGTGATAGCAGTGAGAACTTACGCTTTTGTTGTTATGTAGATTTAAGACACTTCTCCTTTCGCAACGGACAATGAGTTATTGACGACTGTTCATGAAATTTCCTTTTTTTGTAAATTGTATTGTATATTTTATAAGTGGTTATTGAACATAAAATTTGGAGTCTAACAAAGAACACACTATTTATTAACAAAAAGTACTGTGATTAGATTTTGAGGTGCATCTTGAGTGAGTGTGCCGCGAGATGCGGTTTAGAAAATAGTTGTTGTAATAGGACATATTATGGTAAGAAAAATATTTTTATAATGTTTAAAAAATAAAGTACACAACTGTTATGATTGCAAACTTTTTGTATTCCCAAAAATGTCTGAGAATTTTGTATCTTTAATCCAAATGGTGCTAATATAGAAACTAATTTGGGAACTACTAGACTGCATTATGGCACAGGCACCATTTTATTTTTAAAAAAGAAATGCTTATTAATGCCTCACAATAATCCCCATTTTTTAACTAAAAAGCAGTAAGCATTGCTCCACATATTGTAAAGTTGTTAACAGAAAACACAAGCATCCATCATCAACAAGATACTCCCATAACAAGATACTTTAAAATATGTTCAACAGAGTGAATGAAACATAAATATAAAACAAATTTCTAGCAACGTCCACTTTATTTTTTTGTCATATATTAGTCTGTTTATGTTGTTGTATCATTTCAAACCTACCTCATACTTAGGCAGATAGCGAGAGGATCCTTTAACATGCCTCTTCCTTACAAAGAACAAAAGATCATCACAGTCTATAGCTTGCTCCTCTTGGAATAGGAAGTGCCTCACAAACAAGTCAGTCCAGTATGTTGTTCCTTGCAGCACCACAAAGCCAGACTCTGTTAACATTGTTAAAAAAAATGAAATTTATTCACCTGTTTTCATGCTGATATTTACTTAATGGAATATAAAGTATGTTGTAGATTGTGCTGATATATATTAGAAGATATAATAAGTGCCTTCAGTAAACTTGATTAGTACAGCTCTAATGCAAATGAACTATGTGCAATCCTATAAATAATTCTTTATTCTAATATAACTTGTGTGTAACTTGTATGCATGCTTGAATTGTTCCCATTAATGCCTCCATTCACTATTATGTCGTTTTCAGTTTTATCATAATTTTAAGAACAACTACAACTAGTTTCCTTTTCATTTTACTTGATTATTTTGTACATTGCAAGTATATGTTGTATTCATCATTATTAGTTTACTCTTAAATGTCTTAACTTGCCTAATCAGTGGAACTGAAGTTTTATATGTTGTCAAATATAAATTGTTAAGTATGGCGAATTGTTTGTAGCATTTAACAGTTCAAGAAAATGCTTTGGATTATTTGTAACTGAACTATATAAAGGAATTATAAGAAAACATTTGATAATCTGTGTTGGATTAAATTTCTCTGTGTATGTATTTTGTCTATTTTGTTTGACATTTTCAAAACTTTTAGGTAGACCTTACCAATCAGATAAAAATATTGCTCAAAAAAACTTGATGCGGATCTATACTGAAAAGGAGAAAATAATTAAATTGTGACATATTTAAAATCGACACTCCATAAGGCTTAGATTTAATTAAAGTGATTTATTTAAATTCATTGGTACTTTTTCAATAGGTACTTTGGAAAAAGTATTCCTACATTTATTCTATTAAATAGGTATTTAAAAAGAATAGAAAAAAAAACAAACAAATTCCCAATAACGAAATCATTTTCTGAGTATTTAAATTGGTCACAAAACCTTTGTCATGTGTTCTATCTTATTTATCACCTAATTTTTTTTTACCAAATATTTCCTAGTATTGAATAAAATTATTAAATACTTGCATTGCTATGTTTCAGGTTATTATTAGATTTTCACTACATCAATAGTCAGAAAATATTTTATCAATATAGCTAAATAATAATAACATTAAAAGATAATATTAAAAATGATCATACCACATTCCATATCATGCTTCGACTTAAAACAACTAGAAATCAACCAAGTCAAAAAGGTAGGTATAACATATAAAACTATGAGATTTGGAATTACCTTAATTATTATTCAAAATTTTGAAGACAATGAAATTTTGAACTAGGAACTGTTTTTCTGGCTACAAAAAGACAGAGAAAATGAATATATTCTGAGCCGGAATTTTTAAACTATTCCATTAACCCATTTAATAAGTAACTAACTGTTTATACCATTGCTGTTGTAAATTAAAAAACCAATAAATGTTTTTTTCATATTAAAGATTTTTTTATTATTCTGTTTTGTGCATATTTATCAGTAATTATAGGTAGCACTTATTAGAAAAAAAACAGGACCTAAATCATAGTTTCTTCTTATAGTCCACCATCAAAAAAATAATTTGGTGTGGATTCCATTATATCAATTCATCCTCAGGGATATGTAATGATTTTGTTGTAAAAACATATACACTGCCCCATGAATGAGTTAGTTACTCTAATGCGGTGTTTCCTAACGTCGAGCCCACGCCCCACAGGGGGGCAATTCGAAAATGGACTCAATACGAGTTTAATCATTTCGCTCCAGGGCATTGAAATGCAATGTTAGATTTCAGTACCAAATTTAACGAAAAAAGCAAATTGTTAAATAATTGCGGAAAATAATTATAAGGTACAATTTCGTTGATGAGACCAAAATATTGATTGGGTGTTTAGTGCTTTCCAACTTGTTTTTTTTTTCTTTTTTCTATATCATTATCCTGTGTTGTAAGGAAGTTTTTACAAACATAAATTGCATGTGGACAAACACCCAGGTGCAAAACGAATATGTGTGTGTAAGTGGGTGTGTGTGTGGGAGTGTGTGTATGTGGGTCACACAAATAGTTATCGCGTACGGGAATCATAACCACGACCCCTCGACGCCGAAGCCAATACCTTGGCAACTGCGCCACGGAGTAATCTTTTGTTTTTGTTTTCGATTCGAACTCACTCTTGATTCGAACTCGATTTGAAAAGCTTACACCCAATCGACACTAGAAACAAGATCGTGCGTTATCAAATCCTTTAACTCTATCCGGCCTATTACGTCACAATCAATCAATCAATGAAATATCTTTATTCAAATAGACGCTTGGGCGTTCTTATGAATCGTCAAATTTGACATAAAAAAAATATATACATATATAGGTTCGTAAGGTACCACCGGTTCGGAAAGCAGTTCCAGTTGAGAAGAGACCGGCAAGAAAATCAACAGTTGCTCTTATAAAAATAAAAATATCATCAAGTATTAACACCACACATTGGCGTCGTCGAGATATTCCGCAATGGTATAATATAATTTAACCTGTGGCGACACAATGTAATTTGATATATTAGTCGAACGCCCCATGCGCCTTACATTGTGCAGCACAGCACAGTACAGTTCATCGCCAGTAGCTAGCGAACGCACACTGTCATGTGAATATCTTGTAGATTTAATAATAAATAATATATACAGCGTGTCGTTACCATCGCGACAATAAATGAACATACGTCTAACGCTACTTGCCAATAACCATAAAAAATATTAACGTTAAAAAATCCATAATTAAAAAAAAAATATTTTTCAAACAAACTAATTAAATAAAAAAGAAACAAAATTTGTAACATCGAATAACATCGAAATTAATTCGAGTCACATTCGATTGATTCAGAACTCTGAATCTGTCGGGAGTAAGGCGTAAGCCTACAGAGAGATTAACCATCCTTTTGGCAACTCAAATGATATTTGAAAAGCCATTTGACAGCTGATTATTCATTTCTACGATGATCAGTGTTTCAGAAACCGGGCGTTTGTCCGCCTATACACAAGATTAGTTTTATATTATTAGTTTTATATTTAATTGTGACTGGACCCCAAGCTGATGAACATCCAATTATTTTTTGTATTAAGAATGTTTGTTATTGTTTTGTAGTGAATGGCACTAAAGAGGAATCAGTGCATTTTATATAATTTGAAGTGTTCATGTTTAATCAAAATGTACATTCAACATATAAAAAAATATTCGTTAATAATTTTACTAGTTACTACTAACTTATGTAGCAGGTTGAACATAAAGAAAATTACCAATTTCAATTTAGTTAGAAAATATAATAGGGAAGATGCAGATTTAATATTTTTCAATATTTTGTGACTAAAATGTTTAAAAAATCATAAAAAATTGGCCAATGCAACATTTTTATTTTGTTTTTTTATAGATTTTTAACAAATATTACGGATTAAAGTAACGTGAAACGGAACGTTTTTTAAAACGTCAATCAGCGTATAGTACCGCAGTGTAAAAAATAATTAAATAGCAAATAATTAAATACAAAGGCAGTTTAATTTTTTTTATCATTTTAAAAAAGGATGTCTGTCCATATGTCACCAGGCTGTATCTCATGAACCGTGATAGTTAGGCAGTTGAAATTTTCACAAACGATGTATTTCTGTTGCCCCTATAACAAAAAATACTAAAAAACAAAAAAGTATAAATAAGTGGGGCTCCCATAAAACAGACATGATTTTTTTGCCGTTTTTATAGATAATGTTGACAGTAGTAGTGTTTTAACTACTTGTAATACTTCTATATTGAATATAGATATTAAAACATGATTTTTTTAAATGTGATAGAGTGGCAAACGAGCTGGCGGTTCACCTGATGTTAAGTAATAACCGCCGCCCATGGACATTTGCAACACCTGTAGGGTTCCAAATGAGTTGCCATCTTTAAATAAAGTGGGCCGCGGCTACCTCTCTCACCAGACGAAACGTAGAAGTACAACACTTCTATTTTACGCCGGTCTTCTGTGAGGTCGAAACGGAACCCTTCGTGTGCGAGTCCGACTCGCACTTGGCCGGTTTTTATTCAATACATTGTCGATATGACGGCAAAAAGATATCAGAAAGATTGAATTACATATGATGTCGTAATAACCAGAGAATGAGGGCTGGTGAAACATTCATCTTAGAGACGCTTTTAATCAAGACATTGGCCCATCAAATATCGGTCAACGCGTAATCTGCAACGTCATATTCATTTATAGGTTCTCCGAGTTATCTGCATTAAAAAACCAAAGATGCGATGATTTATGTCCGAAGCTATGGGAGACCAGACTTATTTGTCACATTTACGTGTAACCCCGATGTCCAGAGAACCATTATCTGGTCAGCGGTCTTTCGATCTTCATGACGTAATTTCAAGGGTATTTCATTAAAACTTGAAGAAATTCATAAAATTATTCACCAAAGACAAAATATTTGGAAGGTTTTGTGTGTGTATGATAATTTTAAATTGTAAAATTTTTTGTTAACCGTATTGTTCCCCCGTGCGAAGCCGGGGCGGGCTGCTAGTAGTATATAAAGAAAGTTATCATGTGACAATCGTTGTAAATGAAATAAACGCTATTAATAAAACCCTGCTTTTTATTACAGTTTTTTATTCAATTTCATTTAAGGCTGAGTGTAAATTGACTAAAGCAAAAATTGATCATAGCATAGTCTACATTGGGTATTAACAAAATGATCAACACAGGCGTGTGGCTTTAGAAAAGCAAACACACGCAGTCTTCTGATCACTCTTTCAATGTTTATCTGTAGGTTTGCAATATTTTCGACCTTAAAACATCCTTCTTCGCACTTTAACTATTTGGGAACTTCGTTGATACACACATAGCCGATGTACACGATGCACATAGGCACGAAACACGCATCAACACGGATTTTTTTCGAAACGTTGATTGGTGGCATTGTTATGATTACCTGATGTCGATAAATAGTTAACTTTTTTATTTATTGTACTTTGAGCTATTTATTTAAAAGAATAATAATTAATTTCTAAAAAGTCAAAATGTATGCCATGAAAGAGAGACAAATTATATAGCAAGCAAGTGACAGACAGAAGTTACGTCATCGCAATTGTAGATTCGTTTTCGCGCGAAAATTTAAACCATCAATTTGACACCGCATTTTTTTACAATAAATTACAGTATTTAAATTTTTTAATATACTTACGGTCTATTCTACATGAAATCCACTCAAATAAAACCAAAAATGAAAATATTGCATCTTCCCTATTAGTTTTGTGGGAGAATCTGCAAAAGATACCCTAATAGATGATATACTTACTACTACTACCGGCAGGCAGGAGATACTTTAGCCCTATTCTAGGAGACCAGAACTACAGGGCTGACCAGCACGATCCCTAGGAGCCCTTACGTTACAAAATGGCCCCATACACCGACGCCACAGCCATATACGTGAGCAATTACAACAAAACTCGGATTATTATCCCAGGTCCAGACTCGAACAGTATGACGATGTTTAATTATCATGCGTTAAATTATTCGACTAACCCATTCCGTAGGAAAAAACAATAGGATGAAACCCATTATAAAAGGGGAATATGATAAAAATGAAAGAAAAAATCGGGAAGCGGGACCCCTCCCGAGTGAGTTTTTAAGGGTAAAAAATGGTTTATCTCGATTTCCGGCTAAAGCGTCAGGCCGCGAATGCCGACTGGGTTCGATTTTAATATTATAGGGTAATGTATGTAGGGTTCACCCACAAGTTATGTGGACCCAAAAAATAAATGTTTTTAAAAAAAAAGTTTTTTTAAAAAAAAAGATGTTTTTGAAATTTTACTTCTTTTGGCGCGTTAGCGAAAAATGATGAAAGTAAATGTTTTACTATGCGCGCGCCCGACACCCGACAACCGACACTCTGAAGTTAGCCACTCAAACGTTGACATTATGACAACTGTCATAGGGTCCACCATCCAAAATGTCCATTTCTTTAATTATGTCGAAATAACTTGTTTGATATTTAAATAAACTTTATTGAACTAGATAATGCGTTATAATGAAACATTCAATGTATTAAATACCATTTTCTATTGTTAGTGTAGTTTTTCTACAAATGTAGAATAAGGCCAAAGATAAAATTTTTGAAAAGATGTTTATCTTGTTACGCAAAAGAAGTATTACTTCTAACGCTGCACGCAATGCGCACGCAACCGTCTGCTCGTTTGGTAACTTTTCACATAAAAAAAAACATTTATAAACAAGGCCCTCCTAAGGCAAACATTTACCACAGGTATAATAAATTTCAGGATAGTAGAGTTACTGTGGAAGATTTTGAAGAAGTTGACCATTGCAACATTCGAAAGCGTCAAACGGCGTTCAGTGGTCATGGGTTCGATTCCCACACAGGACAATTATTCGTGTGATCCACAGATAACTTCACAGACAGGATATCAGACAGATGTTAGAAACAGCCATAATCACTTACAACATGATTCACATGTTGTGAATGGTGTTGGCTAGGGAGGATAATCATGGTGACAAAACTCATATTGGAAATTAAGCATTGTTCATTCCAAAAGTGGGCCTTAATAATGTTAAAAGTTTAAATTACGTATAAAATTGTCTTTTGATAATATACTTTTATACACATTTACATATTGTGTGGGATAACTTAGTTTAATAGTGTTTGTATAAGTAATTTACTGTTTAATTCATGTAACGTAAGTCGAAATAATTGCTTAAAACTTTGCTTAAAACTTGCTTAAAACTTGCTTAAAACTTGCTTATTTTAGATTGCCTATAAAAATGTCTGTATAATGAAATACTATAAGATTTTAATTGTATAACTGGTTTTATATGACTATTAACACATATGTTGTAAAATTAGTACGATAAAATAATTAGGGAAAAAGTGTATTTTCATAGTGTCATCGTAATTAATTTAATTTAATTATTTGTAATATAGTCATAAGACCTCGAATTCTTTAAGGTAACGCACCAAGAGGGTGCCAAAGAAAAAATGTAAGCTCTCTGATTGGATACCAATACGACAACCAATCAGAGAGCAGGAATTAATTCCCACAGGATCACATAAATATAGCGGCGTTTCGGGGCATCATCGCAGTCGACGAGTATCAAGATCTACCAGTGGAACAAGCAACTAGAAGAAGTCAGCAAGAAAGAAGCCCTGCAGCCTGGAAGAGGAGGAGCCTGCAGCCACTAGAAGAACGTTTTATTGCATAAGAAAAAACTTGTACAAACGTCTGAAAATAAACAGTGTTCTTTCTGTCTTCACGACATTCTTGTTTCTTTACCAATCTAGCACACTGAAACGTGCATTGCGCACACATATGATATATAGGTAGCTTTAAACCTTACAGACTGCGAGTAATTGGTGAACTCTCACACTACAAGGTGTAAAAAGATCAGGATTAACATTTCTGCTAAATACAGCTTAAACATTTTACCAATATTTCATCAGTTTGTATTAATTTTCCAGAATACAAAATCAGTATTGTATTTAGTAGAATCCATATTTTCATTTCCAAATCTTTTGTGTATCTCGGTAATAATATATTAAACAGTAATGTACACCAAATTTTCTACTTTTTATCTTAGCAACAACATAAATAAGAATGTACACCTAACAAACATAACCTATTAGTTTGAGAGAAATAAATCTTGAACTTAATTTATCTTAAATGTGTGTTAGTGACTCATGAATTATCATTATCAGATCTATTAGAAGTAGTACTGAGACTACTAAAGTCCTAATAGTTCTGATACTGATGTTTTTTCTTTGCTCTTTACTCATAACAGAGAAAGTGGCAAACTAGCTGATGGATCACCTGATGTTAAGTGATTAATGCCGCCCATGGACATTTGCAACACCCATAGGGTTGCAGATGTGTTGACATCTCTTAATAAAGTGGGCCCCGGCTACCTCACTCACCAGACGAAACACAGCAGTGCTACAATTCTACTTCCGATCTTCTGTGAGGTCGTGGTACTAAACCGGAGGGACATGCCCAATCGTGCAACAGCGAATACTGTGGCGTGGCCCTACCACCGTAAGTTCGTTATTTGTAATGAAAAAAAATCATATAATTTTACACCTTTGTGCAGCACTAGGGTCTCCATAATAGTTTAAGCATTTTAAACATATATGTAGTTACGAAATTGCCTTTGTTTTAAATAAATTAAACTCACCATCCTTCATGAGTTGCCGCATTTCTTTGGTTCTTTGAAAGTTAATTTCTTCAAGCAGTTGTTCAAGCATAGATGCGTCTTTTAAATATGTAGAGCCGCCTAAAGCCATTTCGATATTTACAATAAAAGAGCTATAAAACCCAGAACAATACACATAAACACCTCACATGTCAACACAATCTCACACAAATGGCAATGAAACACACTAAGTATAAATGGACTATTAGATTAATTTCATATAAAAAAATATATACACTTAAGGTCACTACAAATGAATGAAAATCATTAACTGACAACACATTTCAATCATATTAATACATCATTAAATATCCTAGCCTTAATTTTAGCTACCATGGAAATCGAAAAAAAATAACAAACTGTCAGTCAGACGTGCATATTTTGCACAGATCACAGAATATATTGCATACATAAATATCGAACCTAGAAGAGGACTGATCGTCACAGAGTTTTAAACATTTCCTAATTTTTGTTTCGTCGGAATAGGACTCAGAAGAAACAACGTAGCTGATGCACGACGATGACACTTTGACGTCATCTAATCCACTACAACTCTGCAATCCCCGGTAACGAGAAGCAATCAACGACAATTTGACTAAACAGCACTCGGCACGGCACGGTCAACGGCACCCTCAGATCAGATTTATATAATTTCAGATAATATCTGAAATTTTTATATATTATATAAAAGTACTCTTTGCCTCAGACGGAGGTTCCGCAATCCGGACTGAACTGTCATCGATAGTGGCACCTATCCAGGGGAAGTAATAAACCGTCACGGATTTATCATAAAGGGGCCCATTCACTATCCTGCCTGGCAGTCCGCCGTGCAGTCCGCTGCTCTATGGAGGATCGTGAATGGTGTTGCAGGCCTGCAAAGTTTCTGGCAACACCGAGCAGGACGCGCCTTGCATCCTGCAAGGGACCTGCAAGCTCCGCCCACCACTTGCAGTCCGCCGCGCAGGACTGTCCAAAGAGTACTTTTATATATCTGAAACACCCCTTAAGGGGCCCATTCACTGTTGCAGGCCTGCACAGTTTCTGGCAACACCGAGCAGGACGCGCCTTGCATCCTGCAAGGGACCTGCAAGCTTCACCCACCGCCTGTATCAAAATTACGCTATATAATTATAAATGTCGATAATGGTATGACTCATTTGCTACTGTGTAGCACCGCTCTTATCTTTTACACCCTTACTCTCATCGGTCTAGCAAGTTTTTCTAATAGCAACGAGTGACAATAAAAGATTATGTTTTTCTCAACACGGCTTGTTCTTTGTACTGCATCTTAACTATTCCCTCCTGCCGGCTCCCAAAATGGTATGAAATAATATCGATATTTATATGTATCGAAGTTTTTCTAAGCCGTAACAGTTTGACAGATTTCGCTGTCACTAGGAATGCCGAAAATCGAAAAAAAAATCGATATATCGATATTTATAAAAATATTAATATTGGTCTCGATATATCGAAAAAAAATATCGATATATTGGTCAAATTTTCGGTTATAAAAAAATAATGTATTTAGTTCAGTCTGATTGTTTTAAAAAAATACTAAGTAATAGTAATTTTTTATCACAAATTACATTATTTTAATGAATGAGAAATTTTAAAAATTTCTTTTATTAATCTAAATTTCTACGTTTATTAATAAGTCTAAGTCCTTCATTGAAAAAAAAAAAAAAGAAACAAACAGCTTATTTAGTAAGATAAATCAGTTTCTTTAGCCCTGAATCAAATGATAAAATAACTAATAAAAAACATGTAACTTTGTAAAAAACGCATAAATAATTGTTTATAACGAAGTTAATAAGTGGTCAAAAAGAAACCCGCAGAGACTTTTCCTAAAAGACAGGCTTAGAAGCAGAATTTATTAATAATTGTTTGATTGACATGAAAATGCTGAACGACAATTTAAAAAAGTTACTTAAACAAGGTGGCTTTTCTAAGTGTATCCACTTTTTTTTATTAGATTCTAGACATAAATAATATTATGTAAAAAATTATAAATATTTAAAATCACTCGCAAGTAATTAATTACATTCATTTGAACTTATCTCACAAATTGCGTGATTTATACACAACTCATTGATTTTACGCGCGATCATTCATAACTAGTTCAAACATAACAAGTTCGTGCATAGTAAATTTTGGTATTTATGAATGACTACCGCATTGTCAACACGTTCTGTTTTTTAGGGAATAGAATAGCAATTTGAGTCAAGAGAGAGAGTCAGAGAGCAAACCGAGTCTGAATTTCCTGTGTAAATTTGGGCACTCAAAAAATCTCCCTGTATAGTAAATTGATAATAATTTTTATGACGTCAATATTTGACGTTTTTTATGAAAACTCGATATTATATTATATGAGATTTAATAATTGAGAATTTGATTATAATTCAATTATGTTCACTTTATTTACATATTAAATTAAAGTAACATTAGTTGATAACATTAATATTTATAAATGAGCTTAACATGGAGTTCAATATTAATGATTTGTAACACCTCTATACCATGCTGTACCTTAGATATGGATATACCATGCTGTACCTTAGATATGGATATACCATGCTGTACCTTAAATATGGATATACCATGCTGTACCTTAGATATGGATAGTGTAAATTACGAAGCGAAGTTGAAATTGTAGTATAAATACCATAATTATAATACAAAATGCTACACTGCATCCGCGACAATACTAGTCATAGACAACAGTTTTTTTTCCGTTCATTTTTATCTTTTACGGCTTTAAATCAGTTAATATTGAGCTGAATTAAATTTGAATATAAATATCGTTTATGATACGATTTCGATATTCAATTTTTATATCGATATTTTTTCGGCATCCCTAGCTGTCACTGTCCATTTTTTTACCAAAAATCATATGAAATATGACACTTGACATTTTGTAAATAAGAATTAAAATTGACGTAACATAAATCATAATGGAAACCCAAAAAAATACATTACGAGCAAAAGATTTGTGTTAGAGTAAAAATGTTGAAATAAAATCTGAAAATGATCATAAAAAATATTAAATTCATTTAACTGTTGTACCATAAGTTTTCCGTGTGAAATAATAAAAATTTAAGTATCAGAAAATAATCAAGTCATTGGCAATGTTTCGAAGTGTAAAGTCTACACATAGATGGATACGTCTTATGATAGGATCAACGCGAGTTATCTGCGTGCCCGTAAGAAGATTAACTACATGTTATGAATTAAGAACTATTACTTTACCACCACATAACCAATTTCGACTTGTCATTGGCGCAGCGTCGCTTGGCTTAGCATTATTAGCAGCAGACTATGTATTTAATGGTAGGTCAATTTCTATATAAATATTTATTAGTTTTGCTATTAAGGCATATCATTCTGAAAATATACAAGTTAAGGTAACTAGTGATATTATATACAAATAAGAGGTAAATATGACACTGGAGCACCTAAACTCAGGTAATTTGGCCTTCATATGTCCCGGAGTTCAGTGTGCCTCCTGGCAAAGGCCTCTAACAAATTCCACTGTTTTATATCCTCTGCAACTTTTCTCCAGTTACAACCCAAAAAAAATATAACAAATTTTTTTTGTAATATCCTTTTTTAGTTTTTGATATCATCATAACCCTTTACAACTTAATCACGAATACTCTGTTAATGTGCAACATGATTTGTTTCAGAAAAAAAGTTTTTCAAAGCAGCTCAATCTGGGAATGTAGAGGAACTGCGCAAGTATATATATTTAAATAGTATATTGAAATTTTTGTAGTATATTGAACAAAATTTTAAAATATATTGTAAAAAAACTACAAGAAAGTAGACAGTAGTGTTTGAAAAGTATAGATGTGAGCGGAATGAAGTTTTAGGGAAAGTGTCAACGAATCAGACAGGTGGAGGCTTCGGGCGAGGGGCGGCGCGGCGGCGAGGAGGGCCCGGCGGACCGGCGGCACGCGCTCGGCTGGACGGCGCTGATGGCGGCCGCCGCCAACGACCAGCCGGCCGCCGTGCGCGAGCTGCTGCGGCTGGGCGCGCGCGCCGAGCTGCGCGACCGCTACGGCGGCGCCGCGGCGGCGGCCGCGCTGGCCGGCCTGCACCCGCTCGAGGCGCTGCAGCGGCGCGAGGACGACTTCTGCGCCTCCATGAACGCGCGCGCCTCCTTCCTCGGCTGGACGGCGCTGCACTACGCGGCGCTGGCCGACTCGGCGGGCAGCGCGCGCGCCCTGCTCGAGGCGGGCGCCGACCCCACCGCGCGCGACCACGCCGGCCGCCGCCCGCTGCAATACGCGCGCGACGCCTCGCCCGCGCGCGACCTGCTGCTGCAGCACCAGCGCCGCTGGGAGGACGCCGCCGCCGCCGCCGCCGCCGAGGAGCGCCGCCGCTTCCCGCTCGAGCAGCGCCTGCGCCAGTTTATCGTGGGCCAGCAGGCGGCCATCGAGACGGTCGCGGCCGCCGTGCGGCGCAAGGAGAACGGCTGGGCCGACGAGGACCATCCACTCGTCTTCCTCTTCCTCGGCAGCTCGGGCATCGGCAAGACGGAGCTGGCCAAACAGCTGGCGCGCTACATGCACCGCGACGATCCCGCCGCCTTCATCCGCCTCGACATGTCCGAGTACCAGGAGAAGCACGAGGTGGCCAAGCTGATCGGCGCCCCGCCCGGCTACGTGGGCCACGAGGAGGGCGGCCAGCTGACCAGGGCGCTGGCGCGCAGGGCCGACGCGGTGGTGCTCTTCGACGAGGTGGACAAGGCGCACCCGGACGTGCTCACCGTGCTCCTGCAGCTCTTCGACGAGGTGAGCGCCGCGCAGGGGACTCCCCGCCGACCGTGCGGCGACAGGCGCGCCTGACCCGGACCCCTTGCCCCAGGGACGGCTGACGGACGGCAAGGGAAAGCTGATAGAGTGCAAGAACGCCATCTTCGTGATGACGTCGAACCTGGCCTCGGACGAGATCGCGCAGTACGGGCTGCAGCTGCGGCGCGCGGCCGAGCTGCGGGCCGCGCAGAGGACGCGCGCGCAGGGCGCGGACGCCAAAGGTGCCGTTGCCCCCTCCGGCCCCCTCCGGCCGCCTCAGCCCCCTCCGCCCCCTCCCGCGGGCGCCCCACTTGAAAGCGTGTTTTCGTTGTAGACAAGAGCGACGAGAAACCGCCGCCCGCGCCGAAGGAGGTCATCAACGAAGACCCCGAGGAGACTCTGGAAGTTTCGCGCCACTTCAAAGACAGCGTGGTGAGGCCGATCCTAAAGAAGCACTTTGGGCGCGACGAGTTCTTGGGCCGGATCAACGAGATCGTGTACTTCCTGCCGTTCTCGCGGCAGGAGCTGCTCACGCTGGTGAACATGGAGCTGCAGCATTGGGCGGAGAAGGCCAAGAGCAGGCACGACGTGGAGCTGCACTGGGAGGGGGGCGTGCTGGGGGCCCTGGCCGACGGGTGAGTGGATAACCAACCGTTTTCTACTTTAATATCGCTTTATCAGTATTGTCGTGATGGCTCAGTGTCTGGGCGCTCGTCTTTAACTTAATATTCTCGAGCAATCTAATCTACGTTCGATCCTTGGTGCCGACACCCATGAAATTTTTGGTTTTAAGTGCTGACTTATCAAATGCTCAGTGGTGAATGAAAATATTGTGCATGTTTTCGAAATTATAACAAAAAACATTTCGAAGAAATGTAATGAGATGACGAAGATGTGAAGTCCGCCAATTCGCAGCGGGGCCGCGTGGTGGACTATGCTCTGTAGGTTATTTTACTTACTTTACTTTTACTTTACCTGCAATTATAAATCTATAAAACAGACTGTTGGTTGGCTATTATTTTATTTATTATTGTTGTATGGAAAACTACAGCATGAATACAAATAATAAAATATAAGAGATGAACATAATTAGAGACTTATAATTAAAACCAATTACAGTTTTCCTTTTAAAAGACTTAATAATAAGGTACGAGCAACAAATATTAGGTCTACCGGAAAGTTCTGTCCGCTCCGGTTACAACCTGTGACACATATTTGGCTCTCTCTTTTGATCATGTTAGCAAGCAAGATCCTTTTTTGACAATATCGGAGATTGCGGAAAGGCTTAATTCAGCTCAACAAACCATTTCCGACCATATTCTAGTTTCCCTAGGATTTGTGTGGAAGTATTCGAGATGGGTGCCACACAAGTGAGAAGAATTTGAATGATCGAATCATCATATGCACATCTATGCTTGCACGCAACAAAATCGAACCCTTCTTGGACCGGATCATAACTGGGGATGAAAAGTGGATTACCTATGAAAACATCATAAGAAAAGGGGCATATTGTGAACCAGAAAAATCTGCCCCCGCTACCTCTAAACCGAAGTTGAGCCTGAACGAGAGTATGTTGTGTATATGGTGGGACATTCGAGGACCAATACATTTTGAGCTGTTGAAACCAAACGAAAGGCTAAATTCGGAGAGGTACTGTCAGTAATTGGATAAATTAAAAACAGCAATCCAAGAAAAGAGGCCGGCGATGTTCAATAGGAAGGACATCATACTGCTTCATGACAATGCCAGGCCACATGCTGCTTTGGGGACTCGTCAGAAAGTCGCAGAGCTAGCCTGGGAAATTCTGTCGCATCCACCATACTCCCCGGACCTAGCACCATCTGATTATCACTGGTTCCTGTCCTTACAAAATTTCTTGCAGGGCAAACAATTCAAGAACGAAGAAGATATCAGACAAGCACTGATTCAATTTTTGGCCTCTAGAGATAAGACATTTTTTAAAAATGGGATATACAGATTGCCATCACGCTGGCAAGAAGTCATAAATAATGATGGCAATTATATTATTCAATAAAGTTTATCCAAAGTATGAAAAAATGTATTCCTTTGTTTCATTCTAAAACGGACAGAACTTTCCGGTAGACCTATTACAATGTGTTTATGGGCACGCGCGCGCGTGTTTGTGTGTGTGAGAGAGAGCATGTGTATGTGCTTGATTATTGTTCAAAGATTTTGAAATGTGGCCAATGATTCAATAACAAGTTTCTTAAATTTCTTCCTATTTGAGTTGAAGGGGTCGACATTAAAAAAATTCGAATTGTATGAGCGTGGTATGCGAGACAAAATTGAATTTGATGAATACCGGGTGTGAGAGAGTGAAACGTGAAACAAACGACTATTACTGTGACGCGTACGCTTAGACGGTACATTAAGCGAAAGCCTAGATAGAAGCTGTAATGAGTCTATTTGGCCTGTTAGTAATCCTTGCAGAAACAGCATATCTAATGATTCACGTCTGTCGTACAATGGAAGTAATTTGTAGTATTGACAACAGTCTTTATATGAGACACCGTTATGGTAAGTTTTGAAATTGAGATATTTAATAAACTGTTTCTGAATCGATTCAACAGCGTTTATGTAAGTTGCATATTGCGGAGACCAGACGCAAGAGGTATATTCCAGAGTACTTCTTACATACGCAAAGTAAATTCTTTTTATACATTCGACATCATCAAAAGGTTTAGACACTCAAAATATGAAAACAAGTGTTTTATAAGCTTTTTCGACTATATAATTTATATGATCTACCATAAGAAGTTTCGAGTCTAATAGAACTCCTAGGTCTTCACTGTATTAGATTTTTGTAAGGGAATTTTGTTTATGGTATATTGAAACAAAATCGGACAGAATTTACGCGTAAAGGTTATCTGGGTACACTTCTCTACATTAATGCTTATTCTATTTTTATTGTAATACTTTACCAAGTTGTCTAAATCATTCTGAAGAAGCTGACAGTCTTCTTTTTTTCTTACTGTAATGTAAACTTTTTTATCGTCTGCAAACGTTAATACACTGGAACGCAAAATATATGTCTGAATGTCGAACGTCAACTTTATTTAAATAAATGTTAAAGTATTAAATTTGTAAAAGTTTGATGTTTCAGGGAATGTAATGTTAAAACAATGTGTTTCAACTCGGTGCTTAAAAAGTTATTTTAAATGATGGAATGATATGAACGATGGGCGCAGGTACGACGTGCACTACGGCGCGCGCTCGATCAAGCACGAGGTGGAGCGGCGCGTGGTGAACCAGATCGCGCTGGCGGCGGAGCGCGGCGCGCTGGGCCGCGGCTGCGCGCTGCTGCTCAGCGAGCGCGCGGGCCGGCTGCGGCTGGCCGTGCGCCGCCCGACGGCGCCCGACTACGAGCCGCTCTGACCATGTCTCGTCCTTTCGATAAACAACCCAACAAACACGCGGATCACATTCAAATCTTCTCTCTGTGTCGACGACCGTTGTCTTCCCGCTTATCTCATTTTAGGGCCCTTAAGTTAGCACATGGTTAAAGAAACAATTACCTTGCGCCATCTAAAGTTAGGAGCTAACCTGGGGTTAAATTTCTAAATATTTAACCCACCAATGTGGCCCTCCCACAGTTGCTAAATACCGGGTTAGTAAAAGTTGTGGTGCATTTACTAAAAATATAAATTGAAATGCTGTTGGAGGCTAGCACCGTTTATAGTAAGTGTAAATGCTCTTATGTTGAATATAGACTTAAATTATTTTGATTTAAAATTTGAATTACATTACCTATTTAATTTATTACATTACCTAATTAATTAAATTGAACTTTTGAACAACCGATCAAATAACAGTTAACGGTATTGGTATGTGACACCACGGGCAAGAATGTTTGTTATTTTTTTACCACTCTCTTGGTTCTCATTTGCGTAGAGCGGGTATTCTTCACCACACCCGTAACCACCGCCGCAACATATGAGCGAAGAACCACCACTTCGGAGCTCGTCTTGCCAGCCATGCCTAATATTTACCGCAAAGTCTTTGAACTATAAGGATGGCCCGAGGCTTGTCGTCGCCAGATTGACAAAGACATGAGACCGACTCGTACCCTGAGGTAATGCCTGGGATTCTTAGGTAGTCAGATAATATATTGACGGCAGTAGCGGATGTGTCTTCCTTCTTAATCTCGGCAACACCGTGTACTAGAAGTATTTTTCTCCGAGACCTAAATTCCATCACATTCTGTTGGGACAGCAGTTCGTACCTGCAGTTAAAGGTTCTCGAAGGAAGTCCGACCAAAGGCACGGAATGAATTGAATGATTGATGTTTTGGAACTCTCCTATCCTCAAGTTAAAGTGACGGATAAGATCAACAAGACTACAGTTCACTTTGAGGTTATGTATTTAACTGAGGAAGCAATGAAAAAAATGTGCAGCAATAAATGAAGCTCGGAATATCAGACAATTTTTTGGGAATTGGGATGTCACAGCTATATATTTATTTATATGTATGTGGGTATTTTATTAAATTTTGACATTAAAGAATACAAAGCAGTAAAATATGCGTCTTATTGATTTCACTCCTACCCATAGAAGAAAAACCTTATAACATATATTTTATTAGATAATTGCATTGTTACTATTGGGTTTTAGCCATAAATAAAAAGAAATCGGAAAAGCTATGGGGCTTATCAATTAAGGGCATTGATTTTTTTTTTATACGAAAAGTTGTCGAACGAGCAGGCGGTTTGCCTGATGTTAAGTGAATACTGCCGCCCATGGACATCTGCTACACCCGAGGGTTGCAGATGCGTTGACAATTTTATATTTTTGAAAATTGGACTCCGGCTACCTCACTCACCAGACGAAACGCGAAAGTATTTGTCATACTTCCGCTTTACGCTGGTCTTCTGTGAGGTCGTGGTACTTACCCGGACGGGCCTGCCCATTCGGGCAACAGCCGAGGCTGCTGCGTGGCCCTACCACCTTCATATATTTTATAATCTGTAATATCTTATAGTAATCCTTACTCGTCCTTACTAATATTATAAAGGCGAAAGTTTGTATGTATGGATGGCTGTTTGTTACTCTTTCACGCAAATACTACTGAATGGATTTTAATGAAACTTTACAATAATATAGCTATAGCTTATACATCAGAATAAGACATAGGCTATAATTTATATACATATATTATGTATATCTGTCTTTCTATCTGAATGTTACGCCTTAAGCCTATTCTAAGCAGACCTAGTCGCGGGGAGAGGCTAGTATGTTATAAGTAGGAGTCTTAGTAATATTATTCCGTTTCGCTCTTTTTTGGCTTTCGCTCATTTTAGGGTTCCGTATCCTATCCAAAAGATACGGAACCCTAAAAAGAGCAACCGTTCCCGGTCTCTTCTTAACAGAAACTTTCTAAAAAAATGGTGGTGACTTACGAACTGATGTATCAATTTTTATGTAAAATTCGAACTCAAAAGAACGCCGAAGCGTCTATTTGAATAAAGCATTTTAAATTGGTAGCTCGTTTCTAGAAGTGGCTGTAAAGGATTATCTTTGAATGAAACACGGTAGTATCTAGTGCTTCTTTTTATTAACTTAGCACCGTTATATACAAATATAATGTATAAATAAACAACAACTCTTTACAAAATATAAATCGAGGGATGCCGCCGCCAGTACATATAACTAAACACGTGTAAAGGTGTTATTAATCAGATACATTAAAAGCCTCTGACAGAACGTAACTGGAGTTGTACGCGTACGCGCTTTTTCAAAACATGCAACGGTAATATGGAAAAAGACATTTAAGAGAAGGCGAAAATATATTTAGTGTTGACAAATTATCTAACAACATATATATATTTATCGCTGTAATAGACAAACATTCCACCGAAAGTTAGTGTTACTGTCTTAAAACATACGCTCCAGCTGCGTTCGCTCGAAGGATAAACATAACATTACCCAGTACTGAACGATACTCGCGTAAACATATTCATACTTCATACAACGTATAGCACGTGAACCGAACGGATGATATGAGTGCAGCGCGGGCGGCGCGCGCAACGGCCTTGCGCCGATCCCTGCCTACACCTATTTAGAAGCCGTGCCGCTGGAAAAGAAACCGGCTGCACACGTCACCAGCGGGTAGTGGACGCTGGCAAGGAGAAGTTCTAATTATAGCCGCTTCATTCGTTGTGTTAGTCGTAAACAATGGGAATCTAGACTTGTATAGGTTAACCATAAGGAAATTTAGTTTATTGATAAATCCATATGGACTTTACAAAAAAAGTAAACAATAGATACAGATACGTTTTTCAATCTGAAATATTTATTAATATGAAAATTAAAATAATCATGGAACACATTTAGGCCTTGACAGTAAAGATGAAAATAAACTTTGTGAATAACCACCTAATTTAGAGTAACTTAATTAGGAAATTTATTTATAAACTGTAATGTAAATTTCGACAGGAGTTTACATAAACACCACACATCTGCTGCGTAAAAATATATCAGTTTGAATCTGCCTGATTTGGTTGCTATCTCTTTGTTATATCTACTTTACTAGCTCTGTCTTAATAACCCTATTTCTGGGACAATGCACAAAACTTGAAATAAACAAATATTTGATTATAAACTATCTACTTAGTGGAGTCCTCAACACTGAATTAAGGAGGCATTTACGTGGCATTCGTGCTAATATTCTGTGGATTTTCTGCAAAAATCTTGTTGATTTACTTAAAAAGAAAAACACCGTAAGTTTTCATTGCAAATAAGAATGCTAGCTATTTAAAAGTTATACAGACGATATATAAATATGTGTCAACTAATTTGCGTGCGGGGGGATGACTAAATAAATGCCGCGTAAATGCAAATGGCAGTTACAGGGACGTAAGGGCGTAAATAGGACAATGGGGAGGGAGGTCATATCAAAATCCCTGTTTTGTCATGTTCGACCTTAGTCACTAAATATGCTAGGTGTGCATGCGTCAATTGAATAAATTATTATTGGAAAACTCTCTGGAACACTTTATTATATTGTATATTTATTCTAATATATTTAAGTATACATATTATATGTCGTATATAAAATAGTTTAGAATACACGTATTTTATTCTATTTTTAAACCTCATTTGTATCTAACATCTAGTTGGTGTTTGGTGGAATTTGCCTCGACCCAAACATACTAAACGGATGGTCTACGCCATAGCGGGCTATAGTGTACGCGTGTATGGTTCATCTTTCCTTATAGCTCATCCTAGCGATAAGTGCAAATTTGTAGCTTACTTTAATTTTATGTATAAATGATAAATTTCCGTTAGTCGCGCTAATCGCGACCGAAACGACCCTAATAAACGTTGTGTACCTATGAATCGACGCAGTGAGTTAATTGTATACATTGCTACCAGTTGTCTAAAATCGAATATCGGGTTAATATTCGGACATCGCAATTGGACACGGAGCGCCGGAGGTGTCGGCGGCCGAGCGCGGGCCTTGCGCGCCGCTAGAGCCAGCCGGCGGAGTGGTGGGGCGCGTGGCCGTGCAGCGGCGTGACGCCGGCCAGCCGCGCCAGCGCCGCGCACCGGCCGCACGGCACGCTCTCCGCCGCCTCCGGCGACTGCTCGGGCGCGCCCTCCACGCTCGCCTCGTAGCCGCACTGGCCGCACGACTCCTGCCGCCGAAAGCTCGCATTGCTTGTACGACGCCCAGGGGACGGTCGGGGGGTGGGGGGAGGTCGTCGAACCTTGTGCGTGTCGTCTTCGAGGCTGGCGAGCAGCGGCTCCCGGCTGCCGGCGGGCGCGCTGCGGGGCGGCGCGGGGGCGGCGGGCGCGCGCGGCGGCGGCGCCGCGGGGGGCGCCCGCGCCGGCACCGAACTGGCTCGCTGCAGCGCCTCGCTGCTGCGCTCGTCGGCCGCCGCGCGCCGCGAGTCCGAGAACTTCTTGCGCTTGCGCTTGAGCGCCGCCAGCGCCGAGAGCGGGTGCAGCGGGCCGCTGCGCGCCCGCTCCGGGCTGCGCTGCGAGTCGCTGCCGGACTCGGAGCGCTCGCTGCCGCTGCGGGCCAAACCGAACGAAGCCCCGTTGTACCGGTCGCTGGGACCGAAAATTAAATGTCAGAAGAGATTAACAGATGGAGAACGATTGTTCTATTCGGAGAGTCACTCTAACCTGGGCGAAGGTCTGGAATGGTCGCAGACCGAGTCCTCGGAGCGCGAACGGCCGATGAGGCGCGACACCCTCGCGGCGCGCGCGGCCTCGATGATGGTGCCCCAGCGGCGCTTGTGCGGCGGCTTGCGGCGGGCCCCGCTGCCGCCCGCGCCGTCGGAGAGGCTCGACTGGCTGGTCCTCAGGCGGCCGCCCAGCAGCGCCGAGAGGGAGGCGTGGTGCGCGCCGTGCGCTCCGCCGTGCTCGTGGTGCAACGAGGCCAGGAACTCGTCGACCGGCGCGAGCGAACCTCCCGGCGCGATGTTGAATCCTTTCATGAGGCGGCGCTCCTTTTGACGATTCTTCTTGCCGCCGCCGCCGCCTGGAAGCGTAAACGTTTGTTGTTTGTATTTAATCGAAGTGACACGGCATGAAGAAAAGATAGCATCACGAGTAGGTACCGGGGGCACCGGCGTTAGCGGTGGAGGTGTTCATGCCGGAGTTGCGCAGGATCTCCACGAGCTCGCAGCGAAAGGCGCTGACGTCCTGCTTGATCTCGTTGACGTCGTCCTCGGTGACGCCGCCGCACTCGGCGCGCCTCTGCTGCACGGTCACGTAGCGACGCACCAGGTTGCGCATTATGGCCTGTGCACAGGGGCGTTTCAAAAGGGCACCTTATATTACGATCGTAGTATTTTTAAAAAGATTTGCTGGAACAGGAAACAGAAATCATAATTTAGATTTAAAAGTTAACAATATGATTAGAACATACCTGATACCGGAAATCGCGTTCATTTGCTTGTTTTGCTTTCCTCTGAAATGTAAACTGAAGTTAGTGGGGAAGCTTTTACTTATGTGACAATTATGACTACAAGTTCTTACTTTCCGACTCATAGTAAGACACCAGAAATTGTTGTTGGTTAACAATTTTTTCTACATAGATAAATTCAAATAATAAGTTAAAGCCGGTGATTATATCACTTTTTTTATGTGAATAGTTGCCAAACGAGCACCTGATGGTAAGTGAATACCGCCGCCCATGGACATCTGATACACCCGAGGGTTACAGATGCGTTGCCAACCTTTTTGGAAATTGGGCTCCGGGTACCTCACTCACCAGACGAAACGCAAAAGTATTTGTCATACTTCCACTTTACGCTGGTCTTCTGTGAGGTCGTGGTACTTACCCAGACGGGCCTGCCCATTCGTGCATCAGCCGAGGCTGCTGCGGGGCCCTACCACCGTAAACCGACTTGCTTAAATTTACATAAATATGTATATTGAAATAGTAATACGGAGCCCAATTACCAATAACACTTTAAACAAGTAACTTCTTGAAATAAGAAGGAGCACATGATGCAGTGGTGGTTAACTTATTTTTGTGATAGGAAATATTAAACTGTTACCTACACGTTAAAATGCCTATATTACGCAGGTAAAAAGTAAAACAGTAGATGCATCGATGGACAAGATGTGTGGAACAATCATTTGGGTGTTGGCTCACCCGGATGGTGCGCATGTGTTCGCGTTTCGCACGCGTTTGCCCGCAGAGCCTGCGCTGAAGCCACTTCCACGTGTAGATCGCAGACTTCGGAGAGGGGATGACGTTGAATGGGGGTGGTGCCGTCCCACCCTCTTCGAAGTAGCTGATCCACAGTTTGCTCCGTGCAAATTTCCATTCTACGTCTGCGCGCTCCTGCGGATGGAAATTGTATCACGATACTTAATTATTCATTTACATTCAAATATGACTCCATGGCGCCGTTGCTAAGCTATTGACTTCAGCACCGGGGGACCTGGGTTCGGTTGCCAAACGTTTTTATGTGATCCACGGATAATTAATCCGTCCGAAGTCGTCGGCGACAGGCAGGCAGGTGTCCGGTTGTCAAAAATCTAACCAATCCAAACGATATGATTCGCATGATGCGACTATCCCACTTAGGTGGGATAAGAGCAGAAAGATGATGGATTATAGTCTATCAACTTAGAAAAGAAACAAAGTACAATGAATATACAACTTAGGTTTAGTACTATAGGTTTTTAAATATTCTACTCTCCTTCAAATATTTGAAAAATTTGTCAACGTATTATGGCCATTGCTTCTGTAAATATGTAATCACATATAATCACAATATGCTAAAGTATGGTTAGATGAAAAGCACTTACGGATATGAGCTGATAGGAGTGGTTCATCATGGCGATTAACAGATTAAGCAGCACGATCACTTGTATGACAGCGTAAGTTCCAAACATCAGCATACCCCAAAAGCGCGTAAATATCTTGATACCATCTAGCTCGAACGAATCTAGGTCCACCAGGCCAAATGCCGCCCAGAACAGCGTTTGCATCGTCTCAAACAGACTGAGAAGCATAAAATTTAATGAGATATATAAGAAGTACAAACAAAAATATACATTTGCAATAATATGATATTTATTAATGTTTATGTATTTTTGTACAAAGTGTGGCATGCGAGCAGGCGGCCGCCCATGGACATGTACAAACTTTAAAAGATGCAAAAGTGTACTTTTACTTAACGCTGGTCTAATGTAACGCCGTGCTACTCTGCCGGATGGGCCACTCTCGTCTTCTAAGCATTATATATATGTTGCCGAGTTAAAGCGATAGAGCAAGCGTCGGTGTGTATCTATATATCACATTGCCTTCTACTTGCTATCTATCATCCGAGCGTTTTACGTGTGTTAGGTTAGGTTAGGCAAGCGTGTAACACTGCACTTTGCGAAGCCTTGGGAAGGCATCTTATATTGAGTATATTTATATACATTGTACTAATACTTGCTTTGGTCCAAGGGTTCTACGTGTGTTTGGTGATGGCTTTTATAATATTAATGGTTATTTACATGATAACACACTATGGCAATGAATTGATCGCTCCATGCTCTTTCAATCGGACTTTTGTACTTAATATACTCATGTCACACAATTTAAAACATGTTCACACTATCAACAAAGTGACCCGCTAAGTTTCTTTCACCGGTTCTTCTCAGTGGCTTTTCTTTTCCCAACCGATGGTAGTATTTTTATCTATCAATAAGTGAGTGCAATGCTCTTATGTTGAATAAATGTATTTGAATTTATTTATGTATGTGTAAACAATGCTTTAGTAAAAAGCCCGTGCAATGTGTTTTTATTAGAGTGAACATTTTTAATTTCTTTTTAAATTCGCCCGAAAGATTCGATGTTGAAAGGTGTTGTGAGTATCGGCGGAAAATTACTTATATTTTACTTGTCATAAATCTCTTGGTCTCATAATGTATGTACACTGTAACTTTTTTTTTTTCTAAATACCGCAGCTCGTCAAAGTGAACATTAGGGAAAAATGATAATATTTTATAGAGCTTACTTTGCAAAACGCCTCCATACTATGCAGGCGTCTGGATCTACTATGGTTCCATTGGCTGCTGCTGCATTTCCAATCGTACAACGCTTTTTCTCCATTTCAGCATAATACCAGAGCAGTTGGTTCAATCCTGAAAGTTCATTTTGAATTATCCCATCTCGAAACCTTCAAATATAAACAACGATAGATCGGTACAGACCACAAGAAAAAGCGAAGATAACGAGGATGTCCAACACAAAAAACTTTAAGATGTCCAGCACCATGCGACTGAGTGACACCTGCAGAGGTCCAAGGTGGGGGTTGACGCTGAATATGTACACTAGTTTCAGGCTACTGAAGATGTTTGCAGCTGAAAACAGTCCCTCCGAAAGTAGCATTGGATCCCAAGCGTCCCACTTCTCTCGCGGCTGATTCCATTGTAAATTCATCGCCATTTCTCGGCGAACCTTTCAATGAAAGTATGAAGATATTTTAATTATAAAATTACTTTATATAATTTAATTATACGCGGAAATAAATTATACCAGCATCTTACCCAAACAGACGATAAAATAAAAATCGGCTGCCCTTGAAACTAAAATGTTACATGTGTCTAAACAAGCCACGAAACGCGTCCGTTCGGCTTTTCTGGTATTATATAATTTGAGATTTAGGAGATTTTTACGTCGATTGTCTGTATCTTTTCCTAATTTAAGAAACTAGAAATCATTGAGGAACAAATTATATAAAAAAAAATATACATATAGATACTCACTTGAAAATGTGATACAACGCGAAGTGCGACCGTTGCAACATAGAGGGAGTTTGTGACAAAGTCTATAACGTTCCACATGTCATGCACGTATTCGCGCAGGCCCATGTCCCACAGCTGTTTCACTTCACTCCAAATCAAACCTACAATTAATAGGTCAGTATGTGTTACGTTTAAGTGGGAACGAAAGGCAAATGAGGAATGAAAACTCACCGCTGACCCAAGCCAAAATGAGCCATTCGACTAAAGAAGGTAGCGATCCGCGCCTCGAAAGAGGCACTTCCTGTGTTCCCCTCCAAAGCAATCCACCCGCAGTCGTCTCGATTCTTTGAGATGCCAGGATCAATAGAACTGCAGGATTTCACGTAAATGTAAGACATCAGATCGAAAACTGCAGGTCTGAGTTGGATAATATGTAAGGGATAAATAAGAATCATAACTGCACTTGCGTGTGGTCATTGTATACTTACACAGGAACATAAAATAGCTGGCCGAATGGCATAGGAATTTGATGAATGGTTTGCGAAGAGTCCGGCCCGCGGTCGAATGCGGCGCCGCTATGTACGCCAGCGAGTACAGCGGGAACATGGCTCCGATGCGCATCATCTCGGCCGCCTGGAGGAGCATGTTTTTGCGTCGGAATCCGGGAACGCTTTCGTACCAGATGGAAGCCAGCAATTGTTGCACATTTGGATGCGCGACGAACTGAAATTCAAAAAACTCATTTAAAACTTTCACTGGGCAAGCAGCCTCTGTTCGGTATTTGAGGTAATCGGCCGCTTTAGTAAAGCGTCTGGGCGCGTTGCTTAGAAGATTCGATTCGAAGGTTCGATTCTCGCAATGGCGAAAGTTTTAATTGATTTATTTACAAAAAAGTTTCATCTAAACCGTGGAGGTGTTGTAGATGTCCAAGAATAGCTCGATTCGCACCTCACGTAAACGCGAAAACATGTTTGCGGATTACCTTCTTCTGTCGCAGCTTAATTGCGAGCTTGAGCCGCGAGAGGCGCATCCGCTCGGGCGCGCCGGGCTCCGCGAGCGGCGCCTGCGGCGAGCCCGTCTCGTGGTTGAGCAGCACTTGCAGCTCGTGCGAGGTGCGCGTGTGGTCGAGGAGCGCGGTGGCGAACTCCTGGCACTGCACGCGCAGCTCCTGGTACTCGGTCTTGAACTCGTGCTCGAGGGCGGAGAGGCGGCGCAGCTCCCACGAGAGCTCGAAGGCGGTGAGGATGGGGTCCTTGGAGGAGAGCGCTATGAGGGAGGGCGAGGCGAGGGCGCGGTACGCGTTGATCCGGGAGCGCGAGTGGCGCAGCGAGTCCTCACGGCGGGAGCGCACGCACTCGTCGCAGCCGCAGCGCACGTCGTGCGGCACGGGCAGCGAGGCGCCGCGGTCCAGCAGCAGCTTGATGATCTCGTAGCTGTCCCGGTGCGCCGCCAGGATCAGCGGCGTGATGTCCGACGTGAACGTGGCCGTCTCCGGCGGCAGCGCCTCCCAGCTCTGCAACCGCGCGCGAACGCACTCAACGCACTCAACGCACCCGCGAGAGGGTGAGCCCTCACCGTCGCACGCTTTCGCCCCTCGATACAAATTCGCCCGCGCTACACTACGACGTTACTACTACGGGATTTTAATCTCAAACACATTATAGCTTTAAGCGAGCATGCGCCGTAGACTTGGTGTTCTGTGGCCAATCTCTAAATAGAATAAGATAAGATAGAATAAGAATGCAGGGCTCACCCACTGCAATGTTCGTCTACGAAGTTCTAATGAAAATTGGTTCTAGGTGAGTTTGCTGTTTACGGTACGATAAATGGAGATCATTTGTTAATAATTCATAAGTTGAGCTGTTTACAGCTAATGGGTGTTGAGTTGACACTGGCGGGGTCACGCAGAAGCTTCAGAAAATGCACGCGTGGGGAGCTAGTCCGGCAAAGTGCCGCGGCTGCACAAGTAAGCGGCGTGAAGTGGAATTATTATTTATACTTTCTTGTTTCGTCTTGGGAGTGAGGTAATCGGGACCCACTTTTTTGATCGTTCGCAACGCATCTGCAACCCGACTGGTATCGATAACCTCCATAGGTGGTGGTAAACACTTATACCAAAACACTTTTCACATAAAATAAGAGAAACGAACCAGCCTTCTTGTCACCAGCCACGATGATACGTCTGATATGTAAACATTTCAAAAATATCAATGGGGACTCCGCGACTACTAAGGTTTCAAAAGTAAATGATAATTGATACAAATACATAATCTGAACAAACATGCTCAAATTTGCGCCTCTTACATCAGCTGCCTCTGATACCGCCCAGGTCCTGAGCGAAGTACCCTTTATAGCCGATTTACACATTTTATGTAGTTAACTAAAGTATAAGTGACTAAATTCTAAGCAGCTGTCCATAGATACTTACACTAAAATTTACTCAGGCTTTTTAGTTTGTGTAAGATGGACGACCAACAATAGCTCGTAGAAGTAGTTAAATCAGTAATTAATTTCGCGTTAAGATAAATTTCAGCGAAAAAAAGGAAGAAATATCATCATAAACAGATACATAAATCCTCTAACACATAATAAAGTGGGTAATGCATCAACTAAGTTTAAACTTAAAAGTACATAAGAATTAAAAACTAATAGCTGCGCACTAAATTTTAACTTACATCTTGGTAATTATTAGACTATTCACACGCATGAGTAAGTTGAAATGTAGTTAACAATTAACTGCTTAAGGCGTGTAAATCTGGCATTAGATGAGAGATAGCCAAAATATATACAAATAGTAAGAGGGCCTTTGCTTCTCTCCCAAGGGATCAAAGTCAATCTGTTGCGGCGTATTTTCTGCCATCGTGGCGGAAAATACCAAGGGGCTCTAAAATTTAAGGGACGATGATGAAAACAAGAACCCCACGAATGATAGAGAATTAATTTAATAAAATTGAGTATTGAATTTAACTGAACATACCTATTCAAATTTCTAAAGAAAACTTAATATTATTAAAATAAGGCATTGGTTATGTTACTGAAGGATAATGTGCCTTACCAATAAAAACAACCTTTTCCAGGGATTTTAGGGATTACCCAGGATCTAAGAAGTAGAAGTGGGAGAAGTAGATGTAGTGCGAGAGATGAGAGTGGAGGCAGAAAATAAAACGAAGTGGTAAAAATTAGGAAGGATAGGCCCAATATACCATGTGGGGTTAATAGTGTGGGAGAGATAGAAGAGGACTTACGTGCAGCTCGCCCGGCTTTCTGGTGCGCTCCTCGTGGTCGAGCAGCGCCTCGACCGCCTCCACGAACTCCTCGGAGATAGCGTGTAGCAGAGCGTCGCGGGTCTCCACGCCGAACTCCAGCAGCAGCTCGACCATCTCGAGGTTCTCATTGTCGATGGCCATGAGCAGGGCGCTGCGCCCCAGCGGGTCCACGCAGTCCACGTTGATGTGCCCGGTGTCGCGGGCGCGCTGCAGCACCCGCCGCGTGCCCGCCACGTCGCCCCTCTCCACGCCCAGGAGGTACTTCTTCTCCTCCAGCGAGAGCACCGCCATCTCCTGGTGCGGCCGCACCACATTCTCCTCCTCTGTCATCCCGTGGATGCTGTGCCGCTGTGTGACCAAATGCGCACAAGGCTGATTCAATTGTTTTTAAAACGATGCTTAAAAATTGCACTTTTTTGAATTGTAAACTAAATTTTGAATATATATTATACATACGTTCAGCGCTAGGTATGAACAGAAAATGTGAGTTACGCGAGATGAGAGCAGCCATCGTATGATCAAACCGAATCCGGTGGTTCACAGACATACCGTGGTTTGCCCTAAGCGGTAAATATTATGGTAATATATCGTTAACATAAGTGTTTGGGTGATTAACACCATACGTCTCGATAGACGTCTCAAGGATTCTCCTGGGCAATATTATACATGAAAAAATTTTAATCGATGTACCTTTTACTTGACGGGATCAATTCTAGTTTGATTTATCGCTCCGTAGTTCATCGTTTAATATCAATCAGAGTTCGTGTTTCATGTTGTTTGCATTTATGTAACTTAAATGGCGCACGTGCTCCACCATCAATGTATTGACCGTGTTTGTATCATTAGCATAATAGGGGTCTCTATAAGAATCTGTTCATTTTTGCTTTGAGATGAACAGCGATAAAACTGAAGTAGGTCAGGTGGGGAGCATCGCGTTGTTATGCAAATGCGGCGCGGCGCGGCGGGCGGCCCTGCGGGACTCGACTCCGCTGTTACTGGCTCTCCATGATAAACGCGATCGCCTCCGACAGTGACGTTTGTTTTGGGAACGTCGGAGTTGGAATGCGCGCAGCGGCCGCCGTGGCGTAATTTTAGTACACGCACGGAAAGGTGTGAATTGGGCGTGAGGTCACCGCAATCGGTGTGGTCGAGGAATGATTGATAAGTGATGGCGGTGGTGAGGAGGCGGTGGTGAGGAGGCGGTGGTGAGGAGGCGGAGGTGGAGGGTCGGAAGACGCACCTTGACCTTGCTGTCGGGCGGGCGCGGCTCGGGCGCCAGCAGCGCGCCCAGCTCGACGCGGCAGGTGGAGGGGCGCCGCTCGCCGCCGGACATGTCTGAGCCGCTGTCTGCGCACACAAAGCTGGTTGAGCGGCTCCCGCGCCGCACGCTAGCGCGCGAGCCGCTCGGCACTCACCGGCGTCCGCATCGCCGCGGCCGTCGTCGCGCGCTCGCTCCGAGAACTGAAACACGCGGGGCGCGACGTTCAGCGGGCGGCGGGGCGGGCGGGGAGCGGAACGCCACACCGGCCGCTGCACGTGCCGCCCGCCACGAGCTTTGCTTTCGCACCGTGGAACGGATGTGCGACGGCGCCGACGGTGGAAGCTTTTCAACGCAGTGTTCAATCGCAATGTTACAATTAACTTGTGCATTTGAAATATATCGAATATAAATGTTAGAAAATTAATTAATTGTGTCTAATTTTCATGTACAAATGGAACGGACCGTGACGTATCCCATGTCATCGTATGGACTTATCGATACCTGTTGTTGAAAAATTTCTTAAAAGAACAATAAACGATACAAAAGTGGTTATAAATATAATTTGTTTTTGTGTTTGATATATCTAAGACTACCGATATGTAAATATAAATGTAAGATGGAATTTTAATTTCGTGATACCAACGTGTAATCCATTTGAATTATACTTGTATTATTACAATAATTGTATTGGTCATCAAAATTTCCTAGTTAATATTTGATTGGATTCAGTATTTCGACAAAGTATTCTAAAATAAGGATAATCAGCGCGGCCTCGCTGGGGAAAGTAGCACCTGCACACGGCGCGCGCGGCGCGCGGCGATCTGCCGCGAGTGTCGGCGGAGCGCCTCCAGCGCGCCGCGGCCCGCCGCCTCTGCCGACCTCTCGCTCGGCCTCTCGCCTTGCCTCTCGCCCAACCTCTCGCCCCACCTCTCGCCCGATCTCTCGCCCGATCTCTCGCCCGCCCTCTCGCCACGCGCCTCCTGCAAACGCGCCACTTTTTCATTTATCGCGTCGTAAAGTTGCGTTTCCATCGTCGTGTGCGCGCAGACACTGCGTAAAAATACATTTAAATTTCTCAATTGCGCCCCTCATACCTTAAAAGTTAACTGAATGGAATCTATGCGATAAATTCGGTACTCACCTAAAGATAAACGCTGAAATGGCTCTGCCCAAAGCTTGTGATACGCTCTTCGAAATAAAAATATAGATAAACTAGTTTTATGTCAGTATGTTTGGTTTAAGATTGCTACAAGGGTATAGCACTAATAAATCCAACTACTAAACTTGAAGTTTTCACGAGTTACAGTTTTATATGAACATCAAGTACTTGTTCAGCAACCGTTTAGGAAATTATTTTTGTAAAGAAATAAACTCTTATTTTATATACTAAGGGATGGTGATTAATAGGTGGGAGTGCTGTGTGTCCGTTGATAGCGACTAGACAGAAGACGCCGAGACACCTTTTTCACACTTTGTTCATTCGACGACTGTCCAAATCATTCGACTGTCGGAAAAGTGAATCAACAAAAGCGGCACCGCGTCAGCGATTTAAACGATTCCTGGCGCCGTTGGTGCGGACCAAGACCGCCGGACCGTCGGCGATGCGACGGACTTGTGTTGTTATTACTTAATATACATCGATTCGCTAACAAGAGTCGCGACCGCTTACGATGCCGATATGCGAGCGGCGATGTGTGTAATTGTACGAGGTAGTTAGAGCGCGCGAGCGTCGTAGAGCGTTGGCGCGTAGCGGGCTCGCGCTGGGGCGTCGTAGAGCGGCGCGGCCCGGCGCGTGTGTCGGCCGCGCGCCGCGCACTGAGCGAGCGAGCCGCCCTCCCTGCCCGCGCCGCCCGCGCCGCCCGCCCGCCTAGAGACGGCCCACTGCACGCCGATCTTATCGATACTTGACCCTTCCCGCGCTGAGCTTTGACATCATTTTATTAAAAGTTCACTGATCTATTTCAATTTCGGGCTCATTTACTGCATTAAAGGGTGAAACGTTTCATAAAAGTGCGCGGGTTCGTTAATTGTGACATTTAATTGCATTAGTTTAGAACGGCACTGACAGCTCTTATCCCTGATAAATTAAAATTTTATACTACATTACTTGATCCATTTTTGCGAAACAGAATTCTTCGAAGTGAAAAATTTATATTCTGATGAGTTGATCACCATGAGTTATCAAAGTAAAAATGTAAAGTTACAGCCTAAAAATGTTCCACTGCTGGACAAAGGCGTTCTCTGTACAGAGGGTATTTGGGCATAGTCCACTTCGCGACCCCACTGCGGATTGACGGACTTCACATATTTTTGAAATATTTTTTTTTATTATTATTTCGAAAATATGCAGGCTTCCTCACGATGTTTTCCTTCAACGCTGAGCACGCGATCAGACATCACTTAAAATTATCAAATTCATTGGGGATCTGGCACCGGGGATCGAACTCAGGTTGCTCGAGTAAATGTAATTGAAGGCAAGCGCCCCGACACTGAACTATAATGACCGGACACTGAAATATATTAATAGCCAATTAATTGGTAACTCAAAAGAGCTGTGAGTTGAAGAGCCGTGATAGCAAATAAAGCAACTATTTACCTTTTATTAATTTTGTATCTATTATTTAGCAATCTTTTTAAGAAAATAAATAATTAAGGAAGAAAAATTGTTCTAATATTAATAATTTAAAATTTTCTATTTCATATCCTAAACTGAAAGTTTGATGCAAGCAAGACATTTCCGACAGTCATGGAAATCAACATTCTAGTTTCAGTTTCAGTTACTTACAGTGTTTATTCACATAAGGCTAATTACGTAAAATCAACTAATACCTATGTGATACAAAGGGCAATTAAGCTAAGAAGAGGTTATTATTTATATACAACAAAATTTGTAGTGACTTATTTGTTTGCGTTCGTAGTGATCATGTCGTTTAAATTTCACTTGACACGTGCACAAAATCTTAGTCCAGTATTAGTTTGATTTGAACATCAACATGAATCACTAACGCGCGGAATTGTACTCATAGCGTCTCCAGGAAGTTTAGAGCTCGTGATCTATACGGTAGTACCGGATTCACTTAAACTAAGAGACGCATTTTTTTATGAAAAATAATGTGAGCATATCGATAAGGATAGACAGAGAGCGCGCGTGCCGCCCGCCCTCTCGCGCCCAAGCGACTGCAGCCTGTATGAGAAACGCCGTCGGCCCGGCTTCGGACATTAATTGCATTCCTTAAACGCATCATTAACTAAATACAGTCCGTCATGCACTGCCTGTACTTATTTACCTAACTTCCGTCTTTTAAGTACGCTTCTTTTAAACATTGCGTACGTTTAAATGGTTATTAGCCCATTTGCCGCCCACTCTTTGACGGAGAAAAATTGGTTGAATCATTCTGAACACTGTTAATAAAACATTTGTTGACTCGCCTTTATCTTACAGTAACGTACATTTTTCATATTTAAAAGCTTTCAACGTCATTGTTCTCAAAGAATGGTCTACGTTACAATAATACCGTCGTGCCATAACTCTTATTAGCCATTTATGAGCTGTATAAGACTGAGTACAGCTGTTCGATTCTAGAGAAACGTTCATGTAAATTTTAGCAAATTTATTTCAAAGCAAATAAAAAAGATTAGTTATTTCTCAATTACTAATATGTTATGGTATCCAGCTAGGAAGTGTTAAAAATCTTACTTTTTAACAAATTAATTTTCTTCTTTATATTTCACACCAGTTTGCGCGTCAGTAACTATATAAATTGTATAAGTTCAGAAATCAACAACAATTCTCATCGATCGTGATCTTTCGAACTGTTAACATTTTTGCGATTTATTACAATGACTTATTAAATTTTACCCAAAAGGTCGAAAGAATGCAAGGGATAAGATATCGATTCCTGTTTTGTGCCTCGAGCATGGTGCCACGGTGCAACTGAGCCGCCGGGCCACCATTACACCGCATGCCCATGACACCATTAACAATCGATTGCCTCGGATTTAAGTCTTCCCATAAAATGCCCGTTATAGCCATTATTTCTCGCTTTACTGCCCGAGCGGATGATGGAGAAGATAGAGCTGAGACAGGCACGTCAGCATTTGTTAGGTATTAAAGGTATAAAAATGCTGTTGTTCGATAAACGACGCACAAAACGACGACAGCGTGCACTGTACGCCGATTACGTGCCGTAGATATTGTCTGCTATTGTACATTACATGGTGACAGCTGTCCACGTTTATACAAGGAAGAAAACAATTTACGCTTTCGGTTTAATAAAACTGCAGTTTGTTTCAGATATGAGTAGAATGTTCCAAAATTTGCTCTATATATCATAACTGATAAATTTAAATGAAATTGAAAATAACAAAATATAAATTATTAAAATGAAATTAAACAAAATAATTTTTGTGTACCCTATGTCTGAAATTGAAACAAATTCGATCTATAGCCATCAATAATTAAAAAACGTTAACATTCAAAGCATTTCGTGGAAAACAAAACAAAACAAACAACACACCCGTTCCTAAACTGACATCAAAACGGTTCCAGCATTAATACGCGTGAAATTATTCTGCTCAGAAGCCGTAGCGGTCGTTAATTCACAAATAAATGTGACAAATAGCATGCCTGTATCGCTTCAGCTGGTTTTATCCCCAACTTGCATGTCCCGGATACACGGAAAATTGCAATAATTTCCGCAGATGTTACGAGTACAAGTAACAGAACAAATGAACGGAGCCGCGGGCCGCGGCGGGCGTGCCGTCTAATAACATTCGATATCGCCGCATGAAACTCCTGCTGATATTATTGCCTCAATTTGCTCCTTCGCCCTCGCAGTAATACCTAACGACGAGGCCGCAATACTACGCGACTGAAATAACGTTTCACATGAACTTTGGTAAATTGCCGTTCGTCCTGACCCACTTCCACGGGCCGGCGGGCTCCGAGCTCAATTCAACCGCTGCAGCCACCTCACTCGGCCCTTTATATTGCAACCCAACATTGATGCTAAGAGACTAATTTTGAGCGTAGTCTCATAGCAAAAGCTTAAAGGAAAAACTTCTTTTTGAGTGCCCTGAACACGTGTATGTTCAGATAAAGGTGACATGGGTGCGCGAGGACCTCCAGCCGACGGCAAATCGATAGTTTTCCTCTTTAATTGGAAAGTGTGCGCGTGACGTGTGCTCACCTAGTTTCTTGACGGCCGCGTGATGGGGGATCGATAATCGGGGCTTCGCGATATACTTATATCTTGAATGATGGCTTATCATGCCAACAAAAAAGTTTGAGAGTTTTTAATTTAATCGGGCTATTGTTCGTCCGTGCCACCGATGGCCCACAGCGAGTCCCAAAGACAACGCGGCCGCGGTTGATGCTCGTACTCAGTTTAAATAGCCGCAAGGGTCGGGTCGAGTTATTAAGATGATTACAGGGAAGGAGAGCGCCGGTGCACGGCGTGTGGCCAATTGGGTGGCGGTGGCGTCGGTGGTGGTGGTGGTGGTGGTGGTGGTGGTGGTGGTGGTGGTGGTGGCGCCGGGCGGGTGCAGCGAGGGCGCCAGCGCTCCGGTGACCTACATCGGCGACGTTAATCGTATCACGTGAAAAAGATCGCGTGCCGCGGCCGTTCACCCCGCCGAGGGGCCCTTCAACCCTACCCCGTCATTTGCTTGCCACAGCCCGCTGCCGGGGCCACTGGGCCGCAATTGCGCGGATTCGATTTTAAACTTGTTATCTTCGTGTCAATGTGCCCCATTGACGGATCGGCGCTCGCTCGTTATTTGCAAGCGACGCTCGTTTAATAACGCTCGTTAACATTGTTATGTGAATTTTGCGTCGTCGATCAATGCTACGAACATACCCATAATCTACGGTTAACTAAAGCTGCGGCAGTAAACTATTCAGCTAGAGTAAGCCAGCTCTAAAACTGACGACGCGCGACGTAAAGCAATAAAACGATGTACCGTAGCGTATCCATTGTATTGATCATGTTATACCACTAAACGAACCAATTTTTATACAACGTACAACTGATGCGTATGCGGAAGCTCTCTTAGAAAGATTGAATTACTAATTTTTTAATCAGAATTTGTTTTGGGATTTTTATCTTTATTTGGATGTTCCCAACCCCATTGTGACATCATTTTTATACTTAGGAATAAACTATATAGAAGTCATTGTGAGAAGACTGATGCAGCACAGTTTCAATTAAAATAAAATAGAGGATTCTTATTAATAATAAAAACACTGGGCACGCACACACGCCGATGGTTCCGTACCTTCCCATTATAGTGCCAAAATTGGTAAATAATCACCGCAGATTTTCTCCACCTGAGAAAATCTGCGGTGATTGGAGATTTTCTCAGGTGGAGTTGTAAGTTGAAATTTATACCAGATACAGAAATCTGTAGTTCCTAATAATATTTTATTAGAACAATAAGTAGATATATAAGTTGTATGTATGTTCTTTTGCCTCGGAAATGCTTGAAAATCATTGTAATAGAAAACAAATGTATTAGGTAACAAGATCTTAAGGTCTTCACTTATGGATGACGATCATTGACTTAGCAAGAATTTAGTACTTTTCCTCTGCACCCTGAATAATAAAAAATAGAAAAAAATTAGAAAGAGATGCGCGTCGTCAAAGTAAATAATCACACACATGAAAGTTGGCTTTATTTTCAATAAATTAACATTTTATCCATCTTAATTTGCGTTTTGGCTCCCCGGGTAATGTTACGGTATGCCCAAATACAACAAAAAATGTACGTAGTAACATGATTCGTGGGCCTTAGACAATTTATTTTAGATCAAATTACTTCCTGAATAAACTCTCATGGAATATTCATAGGCGAAGTGCTTGACAATAACTCTCCTACAGCCGCTGTCTCTAGTAGATCGTTACGCCATATAATGGCGTAGGTCAGTAACTAATTGGTCGCACATGCCTTTATGTAGAAAAAAATTTTTCATAAATGTTTGGCATTTCAATGCCCACTGCAATAAAATTGCGTGTAGTAGTACGAGCGAACCTAAATACTACTTCTTAGGATAATATTTTTGATCCGATTAATGCTTTTTAGTTGCAATGCTCTTGCACATAATTTTCTATTTTAACGCTTACTTCAAGATGTAAGTGAATAAATTTGAACAATGAATCAAACGTTGAATTACGAAAAAACCTCCGTGAATGATAATTTGTAATTTAACGTGTATTAATACTGTATATTTTAGGAAATTATTTAATCAATGAGGCATAAACACATATTTTAACACTCTATATATATTTACTTTTTTCGGTATCTGAAGTAGGTATCCAGGAGCAAGGTTATATTTTGAAATCTTCAAAATGTATCCTTGCTTCTGGAAAAAGACAAGGTAACGTGAGATTCGCAATCACTGAAGCAATCTCAATGGCCAACTCTGGGAGGGCTAACACACGTATAGCGTTGAACCATAGCTACCTCTAGAGACTGCGTCCTTGTTATGTAATCGTAGTAAACCACCTAATGGCCGACCGCCTTTATATACTGAACACAAATATGACAGATTCCTAAAAGTAATAGTGAACAATACTACAGGGTAGATCAAACCTCCGGTGTCATAACATATTTTGATACATTAGAAGCCATGTAAATATTAACCATATTATTGATAAACTGTTTCAAATTTGTCCGAATTTTGTGAGCATGATACAAATTGTACCTACATTTCGCCGGCTATTTCGCAATTTCACGGGAAATCCTGTGCCAATCAGGGAAATTGATTTTCCGGTCGGATGATCGAGTTTAAAGCACACGTGTTCTAGAGTTTAATTCAAAACTAGTTTTTAATCCCGAATTCCTTTTAAATACCCAGATATATTTTAGAGGATTCAATAATCGATTCGCGTTAATGCAGCGTGTAAGTTGTTACACGCATCATCGACACCGATCTATTTAAAAGGGACCAAAACGGAAAAACCGAAACGTTTATTAAATTGCAAATAAACAGACGCTGCGTGTGCTGTTTTTCTCTACCAAGGCGTATTTATTTCAAATTACCTTCAATTGAAACATGCTCATTGTTTCAGTAGTATTTAATTGTACAGTGATCGCGTTGGGGGTTTTAATAACAATACAAATAAAAAATTTACAATGTAATTTTATTTCATGTTTTTTTTTAAAACGATAATCCAATATATAATAAAAAAAACTATGTGACTGAATAACGTTAGTTTAAACATCATGAAGTTCGAACGGAACGCTAAGTGAGTCACAACGCTCCGTCTGGGAAAAAAGAGTTGGTCCGTATGTAATAAGGTAGGTACCATCGGGCGTCGCGCTACGCAAACTTAGGCCCGTTCCCGCAGGAGGCAGGAAGGCGAAGTGGAGTGCTGGCGTGGCGTGCCCCACGGCCGTACCACTCTTGTAATTAAGTTTGAGCCCTTCGAGGTGCGTGCGTACAATGTATATAATATGATCAATGAACGAATGCCATTAGCTCCAAATGGATTATACCCTTCAGGTAATACATTTCGAGGTAAAGTACTCTATGTTAGCACTGTAATGGTAATAAGTTGTCGATATTGCGAATTTTTTACATCATGCCATTAAAGAGAAAGTCATTTTTTATCATTACATTTATTGAGAATACAGACATATTGAATTATAATAATTATAAGAACAAAATTTGAAGTTAGGGGAACATAATTATTGAAATTAACTGTGGTACGGCAATGCAAGAGTCTTCGCTGTTGCACGGCACGAATGGGCAGGTTCTTCCAGGAAATTTCAGGACCTCACAGAACACCAGCGTGAGGTGGAACTGTTTTACTTCTGCGTTTCGTCTGGTGAGTGAGGTAGCCGGGGCCCACTTTATTAAACTGTGGCAACGCATCTGCAAACCTATGGGTGTTGCAAATGTCAATGGGCGGCGGTTCTCACTTAACATGATTATATAATAAATACTAGCTTAACACCCGCGGCTCCAGCCGCGTTGATGCCCTTAAACAAATATCTATTTTTAATAAAACGAATCCTTATTAATACCTCTAAGAACATGTACAAAGTTTCATGATAATCGGATGAGTATTTTTGACGTGAAAGAGTAACAAACAAATATACATTCACATTTATAATATTATTATATAAGTAGGCAACTTTTGTATACCGTAGACATGTACCATATCAGAAGTGTTACAGATGTGTTGCTGAAAATTCAAAACTTGGGTCCCGTTTACCTCACTCACCAGACGAAACGCACCAGTGTAATCCTTCCACTTCACATGAACCGAACGGAAGACGCCGGTCTTCGGTTCGGTTCATGTGAAGTATTATACTTTCGCGTTTTCTGCGCGCGGCCCTTTTTAGGGTTCCGTACCCAAAGGGTAAAACTAACTGTCTGTCCGTCTGTCACCAGGCAGACAGTTAAAATTTTCACAGATGATGTGTCCGCAGTAAATACTAAAAAAGCTGAATGAAAAAATATTTAAGCGAAGTTCCCATACAACAGATATGTTTTTTTTTGCCGTTTTGTTGATAGTGATAAGGAACCCTTCGTGTGCGAGTCCGACTCACTCACATATGCTGTAGATGTAAGGTTGTTTGTTACGTTTTCACGCCAAGACTACTTAACCGATTATCATGAAGCTTTGTACTCATATTCTGCGAGGTATTGAAAAGTACAAAGGATATATTTTTATTAAAATAATTAAAAAGAAAGATGTTTATTTCAGGGCTTCAACGCGAACGAAGCTGCGGGCAAAAAGCTAGTTATTAATATGTGTATAATACATGTCACCCCTAGGTAAAATCGTTGTTATAAGGCCTACAGTTTGGAAACAAGCTAAAATCTGCTGACTAAGAGAAATACCATTCGGTTACTTGTGACAGTGTGAAAATATGCACTCGGCATAGAGCCCAAAGAAAACTGAACGCCACTATGAATTCTGGGTTCCTATCATACCAACCCTCTAAATACGTCATATGACACATAATAACAGTATTTATTTATACTAATGTATTTGATACCTCATTTGGTAGCCACAGTGCGTACACGTTGGTTTTAAAACGACTAATTACACAAGAATTTTTTAGCGAATAGCAAACTGAGCACAGAGAACGTCTGAAACATCTGTAAAGTTAATTTCTTATAGAGGATTCTTATGGTTAAGCAATTTATCCGCAACTTTCGCAAGTATTTGGAGACAATTTGTTGCTTTTCAATCCCACATAATAATTTGAAATTTATTTACGACAGCAAAACTATAAATAATTATGTTTATTTATCTCAAAAGTTGGAGCCATCACAATACAATACAATTCACGCACTCATATATTGTTATAGTGTTGTAGCGTGACGATTATATACATATTTCCTCTCGTCAACAAATAAACATTTACGTAGGAAAGTTATTTGGAGTGGTTCTAATCATGGTTTATTTATGGAAAATTTTGAAATAATCATTTTCATAGGAGGCACACACTGATGCTTTCTTATAAGTAAAATTCTCGTTCCGATAGGCAGGCTAAGTCTCCGCTCGGAAAAAGCGTGCTTCGATACGGAGGGTGAGTTACAATCGTATCGTTATCGCCTCGTAAATCCCTCGCGCTGTTGCCTCGCCCCCCGCCGCCCCGCACGCCCCGCACGCCCCCTTTCCACGTCCCGAGCCTCATTAAAATGTTTTTCTACACCTTTATAATATTACTTTGAATAGATGCTATAAATAGTCTGAATGCGAAAAATGTTTCTCAACAAGAAGAAAAGTCTTTGCTTTGTCCTTTGATGCGCGATTGATAAAAACGTTTCTAACGCTGTGCCAATGCCATCTGCCAAATCAATCGTTATACGACTGTAATACGTATACATCTTAGTCTTTTAAAGAATCTGATGCCAAACAATTTTTTTAAAACCCCGTGTGTTTGATTCATTCACCCACTTTATGAACTACGTATAATATTTAAAATGATGTTGAGCCGTCGCCCGAGAAAGTTTAATGCCCGGATACTTATAGTCTACGTCAAGATCGTAATATGTAAGTACAAATCCTTAAACATAACAAATATTGGTTCTAAATTATGCGTAATATGAGCGGTGGACATTCATAGACAAATTTTCACTAAGAATAGAATACATGCGACCAATTATGTGGCCAAATATATTAACCCTGTCTATATTTCATTCTTTGATACATGAAAATCGAGTTGGTTAAAGACATTGAGATATCTTTAAAAAGAAATTGTGTAAGGAAATTTATATGCACAGAATACACGAAGCCAATGCTGCTAAACAACTTTTCTTTCTACCTTCGCATAACGCCGACAAGATAATTTACTTTATTGGCATGTCACTGAAAGAGATCCGCGCGTGGTTGGCATCACGCCCAACGGAGACAAATTTTCGTTTTCTTACAAAACCAAGTTGTTCAAGTGAAAATAGGCCAACCGCTGGCCTTAAGTTCAGGTCACACCCGATGGACATCGGTGATAAGGAAATGGATATATCTTATTAGCATTAACCATGTCTTTAAGAGTCTTTTATGAACGGTTGAATTCGAAAATACCACGAATATTAATTATTGTGTACTTTTATTTTTTGAAACGATACAAACGTAGAACTGTTAAATAATTCCACTAGCATCTTATCCCACTGTGACTTGCTGTTATCGCAGTTTCAATATCATTGTTTATTTCTGAACAATTCTTTTTCCAGTTGCAGTACAAAAAAGGTCCCGCAAACCAGACTTACGGAAACTTTTCTTTGTAGAGTCGCTGCCCTTTTACAAAGCGGTACAAAATTGTTTTGTCATTCATCGTAGTTTTTGTTGTTACATTAATTCAATGTTTTCTTTTTTACGTTTAGTTTAGTAATTAGTTTCAAATGTTCATTATTTAATACATTTCGCTCAATATGGAACGATCACAGGTTCAATAGATTGAAACATTACAATGATATTTGCTAAAGGGTCTTTTATGTATTACAAAATGTGTAATGAAACGATTGAGTTAAAAAAAACTTATATAATAAAAGTGTTTTTTTTACAAGCAATGTAAATATTTCGACGCCATTTAGGTATCCGATATCGCAATTAGCTAAAAACTAAGCGTATAATTTGTTTATCAAAACACTTCACCCCTTGACACCCTCCCGGGTTGTAGTGATTGATTTTTATTTTTATTAATTTCAGTTCTTTCCTGTGGCTTCGTTATAAAGAATGGATCCTTAAATGAACAATTTTCCCTTTGAACCGATATATTATGTTGGACATTCAAAATTATAGTATACACATATTATTTTTATACTTAGCGCGTCGTACATGATGTTTTTGTTGTGAGGTCAAGATATTAAAGTGGTCTATAACTGTATTAGTCTTCTGTATTGATTAACTTCTAATGAATTTAAAAGGGGGATGCTAAGAGCGCAGCTTATTTGAAATAATCTTAGGGAAATTGGGTTCGAGAGGGAAAGCAGGCCTCGTCGTGTCCTGATATCGCCCATTGAGGCCCGTCGATGCCTATTAATACTGGCCGACCCTTAACGACGCGTTTACGTCCTTAATTTAAAGCAATCCTTTTAGTGCCAAAACAATTAAGTTTCAGGGCGATTACTAGAGCTCGTATTGTACAAATGTACAAATAATTTCGTAAGACTATGACCACTCATGGTGCCGACAAAGTTATTTCTGTCGATTCAAATCGATATGATAGTGCGCTGTTAGAGATTATTCGTGTAACCTTTCAATGAATAATTAATCACTAGTGGGCTATATACCTACTAAGACTCTTGTCTTTGAACGCAAAACAGCTAGAATTAGTTATGACGAATGAATATCTGATACTAACTGACTGCACAAAGAGAATACTCGCGTACAATATATTGATAGCTAAATTGTCTGCATGTAGAGGTAATTCATTGTTTCAGGCTGATAAACTGGGGGCCACCCCCGTAAGCACGTAAATTGTGATTCCCACAGGAGTCACGTGCCAACTAACTTTAATTGTTTCGTATGAAATATACCAGGTAGTGCGTGGACTTGCTCTGCCATATGCATTGATATTAATAATAATAATAAATATATACATTTTAAACATCGAAATTAAACATTTCAAATGTGTATGAGGGAATCGAGCTAAAAGATACGTTATAATAAATCTCTATTAATACTTAGGATGTTTGGATTATTCATTGTATAAACATAATTATAAACACATATCTTCCGCTACTGTACCTCAAATAGTTGTTCGTAGATTGTTTCCAGTCTAATCTTAATGAAATTCCGTCGCTGTTAAAAATATTTATTTCCTTACTAAACTTAACTTATGTCATAATATTAACTAATAGCTAATAATTCATTGCCACAAAGCCTAAAAGTCTACTCATCAGCAACGCTTCTATGTTACGTTCTTTGTACGAGAATATACACTTTGTTCAAAAGGATCCTTACGTAATCCTCTTACAACGTAAACTTTTTAACAAAACAAAATTAATTTATCTAAGATTTACAAATTTGCATATATGTATGTATGTAACTAACAAGGAAGAGTACCGTACAAGTAGAATTGTAC